GTGCGTGTGCGTGCGTGTGCGGGTGGGTGGGTGGGTGCGCGCGTGCGTGTGTGTGCGTGTGTGCATGTGTGCGTGTGTGTGCGTGTGTGTGCGTGCGCGCGTGCGCGCGTGTGCACGTGTGCGGGTGTGCGGGTGTGCGTCTGTGTCTGTGTCTGTGTCTCTGTCTCTGTCTGTGTCTCTGTCTCTGTCTGTGTCTGTGTCTGTGTCTGTGTCTGTGTCTGTGTGTGTGTGTGTGTCTGTGTGTCTGTCTGTTTGTGTGTGTGTCTGTGTGTGTGTGTTTGTGTGTCTGTGTGTCTGTTTGTGTCTGTTCGTGCGTGTGTGTCTCTGTGTGTGTCTGTGTGTTTTTGTGTGTGTGTCTGCGTGTGTGTGTGTGTGTTTGTTTGTTTTCAATGCAGTCAAAGATTATCATTCGGGCAAATGTCGCTTGAGTTACCCTTTCATAGGGTGGGAGGTCGTACCACCTTGTGTGCCACTTTGGGCAGGAGTTTCGACAAAACAGAGGAATCGAAGATCATGTTAACACTTCCGTGCACCGTCCCCTGTGTGATAGTCAAAAGACCAGAGCTGCTCAACGCCCAAAACCTTGTCGACCAATTTGAGAAGCTGTACCAACTTTTATAACTAGCCACATTGGTATAGCCATCAACGGGTTGTGGTCGCTGCTCGCGTTGATATTATGTTAATGCCGGGCTGATCCGGATGTCTTCACTCCACTCTAGAATGCTTGATTGCCAGCTCTCACCTCTCAATCCTGGATCACCGTCACTTGACCGTTGATTGTAGGGCAATAGGAAAAGAGTCTGAGAGTTATATCACCCGTTCATCTCCCATCACCAGCTTGTAAATGAGATTATGAAAGTAAATGGCTGGTGAAAGGCATAGGATATGGTAAGATGGTGAATGACATCAGGACCTTTCTATTTTGGCAGTTCTCGTCTCTCTTTGCACCGCATGGACATAACCTCAAGAATCTGGCCGCTGAGTAGCTATTTGTTCTCCTGAAAAGCCTTCCTTGTCCGCTCTCTTCACCTTTCCCTCGCTTTCACTCGCCTAAGGCATTTCCAGCTAATAGTATTCAGGGCGAAGCGAGGACAGGGAAAGGAGCTGCGAAAAGGAATGGCAAACAGTGAAAGCAATTTCTCTCTCCCTTTCGCTGCCCTCTTCCCTTGCTTTCTTCCTTCAGGTGTAGTCGGAAAGTGATAGGATGAGAAGGGAGGGTGCGCGCCCAGTCCCTGAGAGTTGGGTGCGGCCGGGTAAAAGACGAATAGACAGGTGAAAATATGTAAGACGTTGATCAAAGAGAAAGACACTAGAATTTTTCATTGAATCATGAATATGCGAGAACGCGCACTTATTTGATCTGCGAACTAACAAGAAGAAGAGTCATTCTCACCACACAGTGAAGACCATGTAAATATATTCTGATGACATTTCGTACACATGGCGCATTGCGTAACACAAGTGTATTAGCAAACATTGATTGACAAGGATCTGGAAGATAGATAGCTTCTCCTGGCCACATCCCTAAAGTTGGAGAAGAGAACAAACGAACAGATGTGCAAAGAGGGATACACGCAATAGAGATTTAGAAGCTAGAAACCTCCCAGACGAAAGAAACAGATGATTAATAAGGCTCCTGTTTTTGGTTAATTCTCTGAACTAATCTCGAGACCAAACATGAAAGCTAGAACTATAGACTAAGATGAATTAACAGAAAGTAAGTCTACGAGAAGTGAATTTCAGTCCAACGATAAATATTGAATCCTGCAAAGATAAATCTAAGAAAAATATTTGCCAAGATGAGCTAGTAAAAAACAACAACACAACAACATAAAGCTGTTGCAACCTCTAAATGTAATGATTCCCCAAATAGACGACGAAGTAACCGTAGATAGAAACGTGTCTTTATGGGAAGGCATTCGTGACAAGCATGTCCATTCCAAGAAAGAATCGAGATGATGCATATACTGCATCGCTTGTTCATTCTTTATCTGTATTTTTGGAGTTCATACGTTTGGAGCTGTCAAGAGAAGCATCCTTTAAACACTTCATAACTTATTTCATTATTTCTTCTTGTTGTTACTTCTTTACCTTTGATTGCTGAAGATTACTTTCTCATCAAGACTTCTTCAGACGAGAAACACACCGATGACACGCTAATGTTCAGAATAGCGATGCGCAATCAGAATATAGCGACATATATAACAGTTCACATTGAAGAGGTTACAGAGATAAATGCTCGGGAGATTGCAGACCTCGTCGATGCCTTGGTCCATGATTTTAGGTGTTTGAGCGGATTCACGACGGCGCTGCCTGGAGTAGCTGAACTGCGTATGCGTTGTGGTAGGACAACGTCGGTCGGAGCTGTTTTGTGCCTATGGACACTGAATTCGAAGTGCCTATCACCGCTCGGAAGTTGGCAGAAGAGCGGGTGGCAGCGAGTGTGTTTGCACTGATGCTGCGGCACGCATACAATAGCCTGGCTAGTGCTACTTTTGCAGGATGCGATGGCACCATCAAGGCTTCCCCGTGAGATGGTGTATGCCAGTTCTGGGCTGAGATGGGGGTGAGCACGGTGCTTGGTCTTGCGTGGTTGGGCCTGGAGATGCGCATGACCATTGGACTGACCACGTTCGGCTCTTTAGCCCATGTCAATTGTTTGGTGGCTTCGCGTTTTGGTGTCAAGACCACACCAATTTTGGGCCTCGCGACTTCTGGATTCGATGGCATGGAAATGCTCAGGTGCTGGCAGAAGAAAGAGAAGCGCTGGATCACCACTGAAGACTGTACCATGGTGTTCAAGCCGTTGGTGTGTTGCAAGATTTAGGCAGTTCGACATTCTGGGCAAGCTGATGGTGAGGACTACCGACGTCTTTGGTGATGTCAAGTCCAAACCACTGGAGTGGCCGGCGCTCGGCGCTGCCTACTCTGGGCTGCGAAATAGGTTGGTTGGTCCACAGGGAGAGACAGAGGAAGTCATCCTGCGGCTAACTGACGCTTCACGCGAAGCCGCTCTCAAGCTGCTCCCAGACACTGTTTCAGGCACGTTGGTTTGCGTTGGGCCACCGGAAGAAGGAGAGCCTGCTGAGTCTGAACGAACTGGAGATTCGGTGAGCTTGTCTGAAGCCAGCGCTGGAGAAGATGAAAGTCAGCCGAAAATGGATGTGAAGTGGCAGGAGAAGGACTTCAAGAAATGGATCGTTGCGCGACAAGCAGCAAGAATCCTGGTGAAGCGCTTAAGGGTGTTAAGAAGAGAGAACCCGTACGGCTGAAACAGTGTCTGCAAGTCTTTGTTCAGCAGTGGAAATGTTGGAGGCCAACAACGTGGATGCGGATTCAATCGAGGAAGTGTTGCAGACTGACCCAGGCGGTGACTTTCGCCGAGTTTGAGGAGGCGCAGAAGACTGGACGAATCCGCCAGACCCTGAATTGCTTGAGAAACTCAAGGGACATACGCGGCCTATCGCAACAATGGCAAGCAGGCCACTCAAAGCCATCTCAAGGAGCGATGGCTTGGAGAGGGTGACCCATGAGTTTCTGGACAGGTATGCAGGCCACATTGCAAACATGGAGGCCAGATCTCCTGCTGTGCCGCGGGTTCTTCAAGCGCGCCACAGGATAGGGCTGATGCTCGATTCGTTGAAACAGTGATGCTTTGGCATACACCGTGAATCTGGACAACGTGCCAGTAGATGAAGCTGCCAAGCATGTTGCTCTCGCGAAGACTGTGAGAGAATGGTCAGCTGTCGACATGGCCGGGGACTCCGTCGAAGGATTTTTTAGAGACACGCTGGGGAAGGAAGCTGCAACCATCCCTGTGCGAGAAAACTGCAGCACAGCGGAAAGCGAGTGCTTATGGCCGTTCTGCTGTCTCCGGTGTAGCCGCAAAGTCGTCACCTGCGAGCGCTGGATCGACTGCCGGAACGCAAGAACAAGCGAGCAGCGCGGATCTGTTCCGAGACTTGCCTCCTCTGGCTCCATACCTGAGCTTGTTCGAGTCGGTGGGAAGTGGGGCAACGCTGAGCCCGGAAGGCAACTCAAGACATCTTAACTCAGCCCCATTATGTTTTTCGAGGGCTGAGGTAGGAAGAGGCAAGCTTGGGAAGATGATTCGCTTTCCTTTCAGAGAGGAATCCAGATAAGAACACTATCCTTGTCTCATGAAGAATACACGGCTAGACGTATAAATCCTTCCCCAATCAGGCTCTTCTCACTGCATCCCTCTCTTTTCACCTCTTTAGATTTGGTTGCGCGGGACGCGAGTGGATGTTCCAGCCGTCAGTCCTGGAAAGATTAATCGGAGAGGGAATGGTAGGTAGGGAAGGAGAGTGTAGGAATGAGATAATGAATGCAGCAAAGAGACGTAGGAAGGAAGGGAATTACTGGCGAGTCAATCATCATTCTCTCATTCCCTCCGACTCTGCGTCTCCGGCTCGCCCAATATCCCAGACAAAGAGATACAGAATGAAGTGATATTGATAGACTCTAAGTAAGAGATGATTTTCCTTGCCAAGCCATTCCATTCTTGGCTCTCATCCCTTACCTTCTTTCCAGTCTATCTGTGGGGTCCTCCCGCTCACTCTCTTCGCTCCCAAGCCCAACTATCAATGCTGTGCAGTGAAAAGCCTCATCATATTGTCGTTGCAGCGGGTTAATCCTGGAGTTATGACGGTTGAAATGGCTGCTTACCCAGCCATATCTAGCTCGCACATGAGATCTCTCGAAAATGCAGCGCCTTGGCCGCAGGAGCAGCCTCACGAGCACCAGTCGATGGAGGGAGAAGTTGAGGCATGCCGCAAAGTTTTCGGCCATGCTGCTTGCTTGCGATTTAATTCCTGGAGTGACCTTTCGAACGCCAACAGCCTCAATGCACGGGTCATGAAACATTATATTTGTTAACTGACTTTGATTGATGGGCACTATGGGCTTCAAGTAGATGCGCTAGAACGTACAAAGTTTGGCAATGATCAACCAGCCTCAGATGACATCTAAGGCGAGAAGGGGAGACCATTCAATCACTGGTGTTTACAACATATGTGAACAGATCAGGGCTGTAAACAACGCGCCTTAGCATTGTGCAAAGCTAGTAAATAGCCACCACAGCGATTCGGGGAGCACCGCAGAAGCCCGCGTCGAAGTCCGCTCAGGACGATTTGGGAACAGTCATTTTGAGATTGTTGGCCCAAGCCTGGCCCTGACTGACCTGAGGTCGGAGATGCTTACGTTCTCGGGCCCATGACTGGCGAGCACTGGCTGTTCTATGAGAAGATGTATTTGTCAGCTTCCCGGCAGCAAATGGCCTGTCAAAAGCAGGCGCCTCAGGACAACTATTGATTGCAAGTTTTTGCCTTCTGCACTTAGTGCCACCGTCGGTATCAAAGCCAAAAAGCAAGGCCACTTTGCTTGATATTGAGAAGTTGATTTTGTCTCAGCCCTGCTTACATTCTGCGGCTGACCGGGGCTTACCATTCGTCGAGGCCAACTACCTTGAGCGTGGCGACTTCACCATTGATGTCATGATGTACGACTTACCGAAGGATGTGCAAGAGGCACACCCCAATAAGTCAGGCAAGAGGCAGGTGTGTTCTCTGTTAAGAAAGGTCGATGGCACGCTCCACAAATTCCAGCTCCCTCCCGCACAATCCCTTGCATACTCCAGCATTAATCTTGTGTTTGCAATACCAGCTTGCCCTGCCGGGCTCGCTCTTGGCGCCCCACGAACTCCGGCCAATCCGACAACCACGCACATTGCATTCCTGGTGCCAACCACCGGCACCCCGCCTCCTCTACTAAACCTATGAGTGGAAGGACATCCTCAGGAAGCTGGTCTGATTGATTTCCTTTTGCCCACAGGACAGGGCAGACAGGGGCCGAAAAGCTGTGCGCTTCTCAGCCTCCATTAAAGGACTTACTTGATTCGGCCCTGTGGCCTCTCTTCTTGTCTTACAGGCAACGACTATTCAGAGGACTATTCACTATTGATATACTTGGAACGTGTCCAAATCCAGCCATCTTCCAAAAGGTCCCAATGCCCCACCAACCTATTTTAGTCGGTGGTTTCCAATCCCCTCTGTGTCCGTAGGTGTTCCATACCACGGAGCCCGAGGGGAGCCGCGCGGGGGCAGAGCAGATGACGAAGGCCAGGCTTCCTTGCCTGAAACATCCACATCCATCACATCCCCGGACCGAAACCCAAACGGGGTGCGTTGATTCCTTTAGCGTGATGCTTAAAAGGTACCGTGGGGTCAGGGGGTCGAAACGCGAGGCGTCCGGCCTGGCGGAAATCGCAAACCTCTTGGAGGCGGAGGCGACACGGTGTGTCAAACTGGAACCCCCGAAATGGGTTGTGTCCGTGAACCAACCGGGTACCCAACAGACACACACGCAATCCCATATTATGGAGCCTGGGGCAGGTGAACAAACGTCGGCATTATTTTGTGGAGGGCTAGTCTTGAGCACTTTGAAGGGATTATGAAAGTCAGAAACTGGCAGCCCTTTTGTTTTATTCTCAAAAGGAAGCGGTGACAACTCTTGATGAATCAATTGACCACCCGGGTTGTGAACATGCATGTGAAGCTGGCTTTGGGAGACACATTGACAACACAATACTGTGGAGAACCCGGACTTTCTTTCTTCAAAACACTGAGTGCTGCCCGCCTCGGGCAGGCTGAAAACAATGCAGGCTTGAGCAAATGATTCCGGGGCTGTACACAAGGAAGCTGACCACCATCACCTCATCCGACCCAAACCCAGTGTATCATGGATATAGGGAAACTGCTTTGGGAGGAGCCCGCCGTAGCTTCAAGTGTGTTTGATCATTTGTTTCGTTCGTGGGAACCCTCCCACGCCCTTGAACGTTGACACAGACTGGTTGCGATGTGCTTGATTTTGTTGGCTTAGGGAACCAAAGTTGCGAAAGCAAACAGGACGAGCCATGCATGCGTTCCGCGCCGCCCAGATTGGCGTCGCATGTTTGCCAACCTTGATTGAAGACTGAGATGGTCGGTGGAGCTCGTTGTTGTTTTGAGCTATGTCAGACAGGTGGATGGTCCTCAAATGGCCAACGAAGGGAGGGCTTCGAAAGGTCACGGGCACGAGTCATTTTGGTAGCCTTCTGACGCCTTACGTTCATTTCCTGCTCAGTTTTGGCAGCCGCAATAGGTCGATGATTACTGCTTTGACACCTGCGGCTATTCCTGCAACATGCACAGCAAACTAGCCTACGCGCCTTGGCTTTCGTGCGGCTAGTGCTTTTCTCGCGAGGCGCGTGGAAACTCGTACATGGTTGACAGCCACGTGAAAGGCACTTCAGGATTGTACTGGGTGCCCAAGCCGAGAAAGCACCTTCTAAGATTCTACTCGTGCCGAGGATGGCTTTTGGTAGCTGGACAACTTGGTATCCTCCATATATCTGGCACGTCTCAACCCCCCTCCCTCGACATGGCTGTTTATTGCTGGGGGTTGTACGACCTGGATCAGCAAGGATTGTGGCGAGGCCTTCTAAAGCCTTGCTGACCACGTCGGCGCAATGAACACTTTTTGTTATCCTTGAAGTTTGCTTAGAACACCACAAAAAGATGTCCATCCAAATTTGAAAGAGGATATACCGATAGAACTCGCCATCAGAGGCGTTCTGCCATCAAGAGCCACCGAGGCTATGGTGCACGTGACCCCGCAGGACACTTGCTCTTATGCAACGCGGCTAACAGTGGCCCATTGTGAGTTGAAGCATTTGGAGGCCGGTTTCCTATTTCAAGGATGCTTACCACCGTTATTTTCAACAACCAGCCCCCTTCTCGTTTGTTGTGGGCTGTCCTTGTGGAAATCTAGACAACTGGGAAGGGCACCATTCACCGGTCCCCGCTCTGCCCCTTGTAACTGTTCCAAGTCTACAACCCAGAAATCCCCGGTGAGCTTGACATGGTTCACCCTGCGATTTCGGCTGACTCGGGTATGATTTGTTATTCTTGGCTCTTTGCCGAACCACCTTGGAGCCACCTGAGGTGGTTTCGCATTTCCTTCAAGGCAACTGGGTGAAGATGTGTAGGGGCTATTTGGAAGCAATCTCTGAAGCAATGCTTGCGGTGTTCTCCGTTTGCTGGGCGGCAGCATCTATCGAGCCGTGCTACAAGCACATCGAGACATGGGCTCTTTGAGTGTGCATTGGTTCGAGCAATGTACGGGGCTGGTTTGCTTGAGTTGCTTCACGTTGCACGCGTGCAGCTGTTTTAAGTGAGTATACAGCAGAGCCGTCTTCGCATTCCTAAGTTGCTGCTTCACGATGCAGCGTTTGTGCATGAGACACGTGTGCTGCAAATATGATTCGGGAGGCTAGCAGTGTTTGCGCATCACTTGCTATACAGCAGAGCGTGATGAAGATGCCTACAGCTGCGAACCCCATGATGGCAGCTGAGCCGATCCTGCTGAGCACGGATGACATGCGCTAAGGTCAAACTTAGCATGAACATTTCATGCCAATGTATGAGGAACTGCAAGTTTTCGGGAAGCAACATGCGCGGGCAGCTCCTCATGATATTTGCTGGAATGGTCCATGTTCATCCATCTCAGTGTTGGAATAGCCTACAGTGACCACCACAAATTTTGATACCAGTGCCCACACATGCCGGATCAACTTGGTAGCATCCGTATTTTGCCTTGTTTTGCCGGGCTGGCTAGTCTATCCCGTTTCCCCTGTGGGCGGGAATTTTGGTGGATTCGACTGAGGCATCCTTTGAGACCAATTTTGGCTCTACCCTCTTCGGGAAGCCCGAGCGGAATCTTGAAGAGATCTTGAACATGCTGATCGGCAAGGCGCACTGCAGACATTGAATAAGAACCCTGGCCAAGCTGGTGGTTTGATTAATTCAGGGCTCGATGCAGAGGTAAGTACCCTTTAGAGCTGCCAGATAGTACGATCGCAACGGCCAGCGTTGTTTTGCACAGGCTATACATAGCACTCCTGGTTTTGGGATGGTTTTCAACGCTCCGCCAAAGCTTGGGTGCTTGCGAGCGGAAATCCCAGCAAGCCTTTGTTGGTCAGATTTTGTTGCTATCTTTTAAAGGTTTTGCCACAACACCTTGGACCACCTCAGGACAACACTTAGATGCTTAGTGACTAAGAGGGCAATTAGGGCTAAATACGCCCTGAATATGGCTCAAGGGCCACAATATCTGCTTTGGTCTGGTCTAGGCGTCTTTGAGGGAAATCGTTGAATCTTGCAAGATCGCAGGCTCGTTTCTCTCTCTCTCTCTCGGTGCTTGCGCGCTTTCCCATGAATATTTGGGTTCGCGGTTCACTTTTTGGCCTTTTGTTCCTAAACGGCCCGTGGGTCTCAGAATACGGATTCCCATCACTTTTAATTGAAGCCAGACGGAAGAACAGAGGATTCCCCCCAACGGGGAAGCTAGAAACGCCGGGGGTGGGCTCCTTTCGGCCTTTCGGCTGGCCTTAGGTCTGCGATGCCTTCCGACCAGGCAAACTCACTCTGACATTGCTGCAGGACACAGGCGGGGTCTCATGGAACCGAAAAAAATCGGCCTTCGGTTTCCTTTTGGTTCCCTTTCAACCACAAGAGCAAGTGGTGCCTCAAAATCCGAAATCCAAGATGAAGGTTAGTGGGGGACGGTGCTTACGGTTCTATCAGCCCCTTCCCCCCAAATCAAGATTTCGGCCTTGCTTTAATCTGGCCTTGACAGTGTTTGGAACCCCGGAGTCTTTTCTACCATCCCCCCTTCCTAAAATTAAGACTTCGGCCTGATCCGGATGTGACAGTGTTGTAAAGCCCATGTTCTATAGTTCCAGCATCCCCTCCTACATATCTTGCTACGGACATTAACCATCCCCTCTGCGTCATGCTGAGCGCAGAAAGTAGCACACTTTCCTTCGGTGATGCCGAATGACGGCCGCTTGAAGCAGCCCTTGCGCCTGCATTTCTTGCTGCACACATCAACGATTCATCCATGGGGGCAGTCAGCTGCTTCCATGCGCATGTCAGCCAGTACTCGTAGGAGTTGGTATAATTGTCATAGCTGATAGGGTAGTTGTACGAGACGCGAAAAGTGGATTATGACCCTGTCCTCCTTGTTCCGGGGCATTTGCCCAGTTCCCGGTGATCATACGGCTGGACGATTGTCAACAGCTTAAGCTTCGTTACTATGAATTCCACTTCTTTATCGAATCAATGATAGCTGTTTAGGGAAGATCAATCTTCCCATGAGAGAGAATGTTTGCGAGAAAACAGCAGCTTTGTGCCTTGTACTCCGTACTGAACCTGCGTGAACGTGAATGGTCATTACCTATCAAATATATGTTGCTTTGTTGTGTTGGGCATCAACTGCTGTATCAGTGCTTGAGAATTTCAACTAGAACATTCGAAAGTAACAGATTCCCCTTCCGTCCCGCTCTGTTGAGACATGCCCCGTTTCTGTGCGGTTAATGTATTCAAACAAACATTTACTCTCTGCCCTGTCTCAGGTCAGACAGGTTGAATGTGGTTTAGAATCCCACGGTTTGGAGTTGTGCCCCTCTGGCCAAGTAACATGTCATCGTAAGTCCACAGCCTACCACAAGAGGGCACTAGACCTTCTTGACTTTGGAAGCCTGAAATGGCTTTTGCCCTCCAGACACGATTGTGATTTCCTTTAGACAAACACCAAGAAGCTGGGCTCCAATTTTGGTACTATCCCTTCGCTAAAAGCAGTCCGCAACAGTTGCCGTTTCGATCCCGACCGGGCAAAGCTGACAGGTGCAGTCCCGTTCCTGGGCAATGCCCCTTTCAATGCGGCAGATGCACGTTATGAGAGACGCCGCTTGGATTGTTTGCATCACTCACTATTTTTTGCAAGGATGCTTTGCTTTGCGACAGCCTGCTGTTCTTTTCCCCAGGAAGCAGCACTTCTACTTCCATGGGCAAGGACAGCACCTGTACGTGCCGACTTCAACTTGACTTGCAAGTCAGGCTACAGATGTAGATGTGACACGCGCTTTCGAGATACATCAAACATCAGCTTGCAGGACTACCATGCTACCATTGCCAACTTCTACAGGAAGGAGTGACAGGGAGGTCTCGAGTTTTCCAGGTCTCACTTCCCTCGCTGCAGCTCGCGAAGCTCGCGGCCTTTGTGCATACTGGGTCCATTGAAGTGACGTCGACATCATCTAAGGGATTGAACGGGACAAATCCCGAATGGTCTTTCTGAGAACCTTAAGGCTCACTTCACAGGACCCAGGCATAGGTTTGTGAACTGAGTTGGAGCTTCCAGGGCCATGGCCCTCAAAGTTGGCACCAACTCCGGCAAAAAGGAAGTGGGGCTCCAGGAGTACGAGCAGTTTACCATGACTCGTTGGTTTTCAAGCACACCCCCCAACTCCAGTTTTGTTTCAGGCCCTTACAGTTGTACGAACTTGATGCTGATGCCAGTCCTTTTCTCAGCAGCAACTTCCATGGGGTTGGCGACTAGTCTTGAGTCGTGATCGGTGTTTGGTGTTTCGATGGCCAGTTGTTTCTCGCCTGTCATGTGGGCGCTCTTTTCCTTGCCACATAGGGACCCACTTGACCCCAAGGACAAGAGTTGCCGATAGAAATCGACTTGTCTGCCACAAAGGGGCGTTCAATGCTGTCTAACCTCAAGGGCTTCATTGCAGAGGAAATTTGAACTGCAACCAAGGAGCCATCAGACCGAAGAAAACTCCAGCCTTTGAGCCGAGGTCATGTGAATTTGCTCTCCTTTCACCAGTCTGGTTGATCTTTTGCTCGCTTAGGAGACCATTCGCAGGGTGTTCCTTACTCCCATCCTGGAGCCCAAATTGCCAAAAAGCGGTTGCAAAAGCTGACTCCTTTGAAGCGCCATGGGCATGTGTTTTTTTAGGATCAGTATTCTTTGAGGTTTTCTTTCTAAGGGCATCCAAAGGGAAACCACTGAATTATTGGTTCTTCGCTATCTAAGGTGACAACCCCCCTACCAGCTATAAATGTTAATATAATGGACAAAACCCACTAAGCATGGTGTCTAAAAACAAACCCCAAGAGTATGTTGGGATTCAACATCAACTATCGGCCTGCATTGGGTCCTGAAACGGGCCACTTATGATCATTCTTGGCTTCCCCAGCTTGACAAGCCATTTTGGCAATGCGCCCTGGCCCGTGCCATGGGGTGCGTTCGTTGTGTCACGGGCGAGGAGGTGATGACGAGGGAGGAATTTGCTAATTGGTGGGATGAACATCGTGAGCTGCGAGAAAGCAATGCGCCATTTGTGGATGCACTGAGGCGCCACTTGGCTAGTCAGCTGCAGATACGTAATTTTCGAAGCTTGGCGCTGGTACATGGCGAGGATTTGCTCAGACCAGAGGACCCATGGCAAAACGAGGAGCTCGTGGTGGTCGTGCGGCAATACGTTGGGGCACCAGAGGAGGTAGGAAGATTCTTGGCTGGAGTTCTCTGTGGCGATGCAGAAATCGTTTTAGCGAGTTTGGAGCGACCCATAGACCCTAGCAGCACATTTAATGGCTGCAACTCGCCGCTGTATGCAGCCACGAACTCGCCGCTGTATGCAGCCACGAACCTGGGTAATCAGGACGTCGCGTGTATTTTGTTGGAGGCTGGCGTTGACAAGGACCAGGCCGATAGCCGAGGAGAGACGTCCATGCACGTTGCTGCCCGTAATGGTCATTTGCAAACGGTGCGTTGTTTGCTGGCGGCGCGGGCTGACATTGAAAGAACCAATGATGATGGGTGTACCCCCATACTTTTAGCTGCTTCTCACGCCCGGCTGGAGGTTGCGCGTTGCTTGCTGGAAGCCGGCTCTGACACGGACAGGGCAGACAACAATGGAAACACGTGTATGCATTTCGCCGCGACATGCGGATATGAGAGGATGGTGCACTGCTTGCTGGAGGCTGGGGCTGACAAGGACAAGGCAAACCACCGTGGGCGTACCGTCATGCATGATGCTGCGTCGCATGGCTTCACGGGTATTGTGAATTGCTTGCTGCGAGCCGGCGCTGACATGAACAAGAGGGACGCTGAAGGCTCTATGCCCATGCACTTGGCGGCGCGATATTGCCATCGGAAAATTGCGCGCGCCTTGATTGAGAAAGGCGCTGACACCAACGACGCTGACAGTGAAGGATGCACCCCGATGCACTTTGCTGCCGAGAACGGGGATCAGCGAGTGGCGCGCTGCCTGCTTGAAGCTGGCGCTGACAGAAACAAGCTGAACAATGAAGGGTACACGCCTACGCAGGTCGCTGCCTGCGTTGGTCACCGGCACGTAGTTTTCTTGTTGCAAGCCGGAGCTGAAGCCAGGGCGAAGCCCAAATTTTGGCAAAGGGCCGCGCTTTCCGCTCAACGGCGGCGGGCGAAAAGTGGTTTGAATAGCAACCAACCATGCCTGTCTGAGCGCCCAATACGTGTTTGTTGTTTCTTGTGGGATGGAGCCTAGTCAAGTCCATGTGACTATGGGACGCCCTGAATTTGCTTCCCTCAATTCTCGGCGATGCGCCCATGGGTGGTTTGATGTTTCACGAACGCCCGAGGCCCCGTGCCCATGGCTGGACGGGAAGCACGTGGTCTTCGGGCACATGGTGGGGGGCGAGGAGGTGCTGGATGCCATTGAGGCGCTCCGAGCCGGGCTTTCAAGAGCTTTGAATGGGCCTCTTTGTGTTTTTTCCCTGGGTGGGAGGGCATTATAACACGGACGTCCATAGGCCTCCTTCGCAAGAGGACAGCAGCCTCCACAAGGGGCCTGCTTGCTTCATGCGTGTGCTCGGCGGGATAGTGGGGATCGTTGTCCACTCCCTTACTGGGGATTCACAAACATTGCAAGGTTTCTTTAAATTTTCTGATTTGGGGAACCATGATCATCGCCCACACACGAAGTGATCATGGCGCATGACAGGTTTGTCAGAGTCCCCCCCCAGGTAGCTGGAACACTCAAGCCCTGCGCTGTGAGTTTGCGCTCCAAAGTCTTCGGCCCAGGGCCATAGCTCGGGCATTTCAACTGTGGAGTGCACGCAGGATTCCGGTCTGTGGTTTGGACATGTTGTCCTGACCTTGTCAAACTTGGATGTTGGACGTCGCCGGGCTTCGCACCGGCCGGGTCGGAGCGGCCGCCGGGAAGTTGCTACACATGTACGCTTTTCCCGAGAAAACAAACGGCATTGACATGCGACCGGATGTGTTCTTGAGTGTGGGTTGCTTGTTATGCAAAAGGAAGCCTCTGCTCCCCCCCTCAAGAAGGTTGACAGGGTCCAGAAAAGGAGACTTTGCCCCAATGTTAATCAGGTCGTCTCCGGTCAGGTCGTCTCCGGTCTTCTCCGGCAGGACAGCAATAGGAAAGTAATCGGAAATCGCGTTGTTTTCCGGGAGTGCAAGGATTCAACGGGGGTTGTGTTCTTAGGGTGGGACTGGCCTTGAAACAGGGTTACCCTTTGTGAGCTTGTGATGCAATAAGAAGTTAGCCACTTAGCTGTTTCTGGCCAGAAGTGGATTAGTTTGTCTTTGGCAAAATTGTGGGCTATTTTAAAGTAGTATTGGCTAACGCGGGGAGGGGAGGAACCTTAAACAGCCAAGAAATCTTGATGTGCCTCCCAATTCCCAGAGCTTCAACTTGGGTGGTATTTGACTGCCAGACGTGGTAGGATCTAGTGGCAGTCCCATGTCGGAAAGCCTGACAATAAGCTTGGCCCCAGATTTGCGTCTCGCGCGCACCGGTCAACAGGCTTGCGGGACGGAGGGCGGCAGACCGTGCTGCTGGCTTGATTGACGAATCTCCAATTGATTGACGCGCTACGCTGCACTGCCAGGAAGGCACGCGTTTGGGTGCCTTGCTTAGCTATGGAGCTATGTCACACCCAATCACGCGCACTTTCTGCCCAGCTGAATGTATGGCATTCAGGTTAGGAGACTCAGTTGGAATACATGCAATCATCAACCATCGCTGTGAATTATCTCACGCCGCCCCTGCAGATCCACAATTGCGGCGAAGAAACCCAGAAGTTTCTCAGGAAGGAGGCACGGGTGGAATTTCTGCAGTGGCCGAACGGATGCTTGCCGCAGGCTTTGGAGTCTGGCTACGTTGAGGAGAGACAAACTTGATCTTTGTAGAAGTGGTAACGGACAGGGCTGAAAGCCGTGGCCCATGCCACCCATGGCCATGCAAGTGGTGACAGCTGTTTCTTGGACATTCTCCGCCTGTCTGTCGAATCATGGGGACGGCTCTGCAGGATCCCGCAGCAAAAGCCCGCGCGGCCATGGAAGCACAGGCAGCAGACGCGGCCAAGGCAGCCGGGCCGTCTGCGGGCAAAGATGCAGCCGTTTTTGAGGGCAGATTCTTACCAGGCAAAGAGCACTTTGATTCCGACAGTCTTCAAAGATAAGAGGGAGTTGCACGCAAGCGCAAAGTAAGAAGGTTCACTCGAGCTTATCCTGCTCGCTGACAGCCAAATCTGAGGCCGCAAGCAGGCCTTATGAGCTCAAGCGGACTATGGGATCCATGGCTCGAGCTCAAATCAGTAATGAGCCCTGTGACAAATCAAGTGCTGGCACCAATCAAGGGTGCTGTCCTTCCAAAAGCTGAGCGTATGAGTCACTGAACAACTCACCCAGGATCGGGTTGTGCTCCCTGACATTGCGGATTCGATACCTCTACTCTTAGACATTCTTAGGCCAAATTGAGTTCAGTTGTTTCTTTGCGCTTAGTGCTCTGAAGGATTGCAATGAGAAGGCCCTTTGGAAGTTTGAAGGTGCCGCGGCCTGAGCACTTGGCTCATATCGATGAGATCTCTCCGGTCCCAGATGAGGCGCCTGCGTGTCGAGTGCCACGTCAATATGAGCGAACATTTCAGCTGTTGGCCGCGGTATAAGGATGCTACTGCCCGGCGTAGTGGAGATTACATTGGACCTTACCTTGTATTAGTTGATGTACGCGAATTCAAAACTGAGGCATGTACCTAAGGAGGGGGGGTATTCCTGATGTGCCAACCATGGTTTTGGTACTATATAAAGGTGCTCCTGTTGTCCTCGGTAAATGTTCTAGAATGACTTCTGCACCCAAGGCAAGATCCCCCAAAGAGAGATTTTTCTGGTTTGGGATCGATGTAATCTGTATCGGTAGCCCCAGGTACCCCAACCCCATTCCAGAAGAGTCTCCTGCTAGGTCTGGAAGCGGGCGAAGGCGTACAGCGAAAACTTGCTGTAGGCTGGGCCAGCGGAGAGCCAAGCTTTGCCCTGCGAGACATGTCCCAACTGGGTTTAACCATGGTACTTATGGTAAGTACAGATGATACTTGGCAGTTCTCAACTGCTTTGCGATGAGTGCGAACAGCTCAAGGCAGATGTGAAAGACCTTCGTAGCTTTACAACCTTTGGAACAGGGCAAAGTGCAGCGGTTTGACAAAGGGGGCGCGCAACCCATGGCATAGGTTCCTCATATAGTGTGGATCCCGCATATTCGTTTGGCTTGTGTATCACTTACAATTTTCCAGCACAGATTCAACCTGCTGGGTGATTTTTTCACTGCAAGGCCCTACTACGCGCGGTGAGCCTTCGACGTAAGCGAGAAAATGTCAATGTGGCCTTTGGGGTTACACCAAAGAAGTCTTCTTTGTTTTTTTGGGGGTCCGAACGCGCACCTTGGGCATCAGAGCACCCCGCTGAAAGTTCCCAGAGGCCAATCTGCAGAACGAAGTTGCTTTTTGCATGAGGAATCCAGGAGGTCTGCTTTGGAAAGCAATTTCAAGCATCCCTTGCCTTGACGCTCGTTCGGCCACCTCTGTGTGGCAGGTCAGCCACGTGTGCAACTGCCACAGTCGCAGTCGAAGTGCGAATTGATGAGCGCATGCCCATTCCAGTTTTTTTGGCTCAAGGATTGCCGGAGAGGGGGCGGATGAAGGGCGGCCCTTGATGGACCCAGATTTGGAGTCCCCTTCGGAGGCAATTGCTGCGCTGATTCCAGCTACAGTTGATGACAGAGCGGAGCAGTGAAGATGACTCTTGCCCGAACTATTGAAACATTCAACACAGGACTCATGACACTCATGTGTGCCAACATGCACAGAAGACGAGTTGATGTTGCTGCTGCGGAGTTCGGCCTGTGACCAGTGGAGGTATCCAGAGAGTGCCTACACTATTGACTAAGATGGTGGGCCGCAAAAAATATAGAATCAAGAAGTCACCCAAGAAACTTCATCTAGATGAAGCTACCTTTCACAATTTTGAGAACACCTCTCCTGGAAAATACGCTATCAAGGCATTCTTTGGAACCTCTCGAGCAATCCGACTGGTTGCCTCAAACTACAGCATTGGCAAGCTTGTGGCTTCCCGCATTTTTTTTTTTTTTTTTAGAAAATATGTTGATTGGTTTCTTGTTCCGTTTTCATTTTGCTCCCTGTCCATCTCACCGGCTCTGTCACACCTGCTGCTGGCTTTCGCTCGCCTCCTTTTGCGAGAAGCTCCTATTCAAAGTCAAGAGTGAAGTAACTGGTGCTTCCTCAGGTCATTGTGAGATCTTTGGCTGCGCAGCCGCTTTTCCGGGGATGCGACCTTGAACTGCTCAAGCGACTTGCTGCAAAGGCGGGGATCGGACGGTCTTGGCAGTGTGAGCAGATTTGTTTGTTTTGCTATTTATGCGCTTAGTGTTCGGGGGGAACTCTCTTTAACGCCGCGGAGGCGCCGTGTAGGCAATTCGGGTGGGGGAAAGCGATCGCGTAGGCGCGTAGGCTGTGCAAGAAATCCTGCGTAGGCATGTTTTGCAGTAGAGCAACTTGCAGGTTGCTGTGAGGCGTAGGCACTTTCATCTTTGCGTAGGCTCTTGTGGCAGTGTAGGCTCGCATGGGCACCCTTCCATGGTTTCACGCACCCGCGGAGGCTTTGCGTAGGCACGGCTGCCAGCGTTTGGGGCCGATACAGCCAAAACGGACTACTCGTCTTATGTCGTGTGATGTCCACGCTAATGACCTCCCTTGCTCGCCGGGATGTGGAATGCATGCCACAGGCAAACGTGAACTGATTTCGAACCTTCATGCGAGGTTTTGTTTTTAGTGGGCATGCGTTTCTTTGCGGCTAGCCCCATATGGCACATAATTAAGTGCAGAGATTATGAATTTAAACAAGTCGACGGACGCTCAAGACCCACCAGCAACGTGCCTCATGCAAACATGGCCAGCGGTGTGAGAGCTGTCCAGGTACTAGACTATCCCACACGTTTCTCGAACAGAAATATCCCTGGTCAGATCACCTCGTTTGTCACTATATAGTGGCATTACTTTGTTTGCCACGATTCCCTGGTATGTCGCTGGTCATAACCGAATCTGGCTCAAAACTGATGAGCCCTTTCTGGATTTGTTTCCAACCAGCAGTCTCCAAAGCCTAACAGCTCTAAAACCTGATAACTCCACACCTGAAAGCTTAGCCCATCAAGGATCCCTAACTTTGCACACCCTGAAAACACTCTTAAATCCCGAGAAACGCCTTAGGAACCTCAGGACCCTAACACCGTAGGTTAGAGACGAAGTCGACCGAAGTTCCCGCACCCTAAACGCCCAAGCTCCCTCAATCCTGAAGCACTGCTTGCGTCCAAGCGAACGCCCCTCAGGCGTTCAACTGGACACCTGGAAGGGGCCATGAGAAGCTTGGTGTGCACAGAGGGCCCTCTCTGAGCCATAGCCATTTGGTAGCTTTCGAGGGGGCATGTCGACAGTTCCTAGTTATTTCGGATTTGAGACATCCTAGCCAAATCATCTACTCCTAGCCATTTCTACATCAGCAAATCCGAACCAGCCAATGTGCATAGTTGATGAAGGAATATGTCACTGTGTCCATTGACTAATCAAGATCAGGATCTCAAGAACAACCAAAACAGCACCTTGACATAATAACTGGGTGTGCCCACAGCCTCTCCCCAAATGATTGGTTACCTTGTGTCTGTTCGGCAGGCCCACATTGGCATTGGGACAATCTCTCATTAGCCCAACCCAGCTGATGCTCAGGATACCCATGCGAGATGAAATGCCCTTGATGATTGTCTTGCCGCTCGGCTGTAACTTTTTGCTGCAACCTTGCGAAATGGGGCGGTTTCGTTTTGGTGCTTTAAAAATAACCCAACAAGGGTGTTGAGCTTCAACCGAAGACATCCCCAAGTGGAATTCTGCGAAGGATTGCTTTCCGCAGAGCTGGACCTGTGAATCCCCATTGCAACAGCGCAATGTCAGAAAAGCTTCTATAGTGAGACCATGATGTGCCATAGGTGTCCTTTTAGGTGTCCTTTTCTGTATCAGGGTTTGCCATTTGGCAAATTGAATATGTGCAGAATGACATGGGACGTCGCAGGTCTGGTGCTCTGTACATGTGCATTGGAGGAGGTCCTGCAGCGCTGGCGTCCCGGGGCACGGTGGTGGGATTCGTGGGGCTGCTGAGACTCCATGGGGCCGTTGCCAGGAGGGCCCGCGCATCGAAATGTGTCTTGTGTGTGTGTGTGTGTGTGCGCGAGTGGTTCTTTTGGTTTGTTTGCTCTTTCGCATGCGTGTGTTTCTTTGCTTGCGGGTTTCTTTCTTACTGTTTGCCTGTTTGGTTGCCTTCCTGCATGCCTGCATGCCTGCCTGCCTGCCTGCCTGCCTGCTTGCCTGCTTTCTTGCTTGCTTGCTTGCTTGCTTGCTTGCTTTTTTGGTTCGTGTGTCTGGTTTTGCCTGTCTGTGTCTCTGTCTGTGTTTGCCTGTCTCTGTCTCTATGTTTGTTGTTTCTGTCTCTGTCTCGATCTCCCTGCGTCAGTCTGTGTCTCCGCCCGCCTGCCTGCCTGCCTGCCTGCCTGCCTGCCTGTCTGTCTGTTTGGGATATTTACAGACTCACGGCACTGAATCCGCGATACTAAGAACTTGTCACGAGCTCACCATTTAAGATGTTGACTGCGGGAATGAGGAGAAGGGAATGTCACCTCTCTTCGTCTATGGTCAAATCAAGGGGGACATGGAGAGAGGCAATTCTTCAACAAGAAAGCGCAAGAAAGGAGGTTGTGTTAGGGTGCGAAAGTCACACCTTTCTGCGTTGGCAGTGCGACTTGACTTGAGAGGACTCCTTCCAAATCCAGTTTATCGGTCTTGGATGTGTTGCAGGAATCGGAAGGCAGGGAACAGTCGCCGTCCGCGCATTAGATTTCAGCAGAAGTGCCTTGTTGAGTCGCTTGTGCCTTTGACAGTGACAGGAAGGGCACACTCCAAGTTGACTGCATGTAATGTCTGACAGATGCAGATGTTGAGCCTGAGCACGAATTTGAGCTACCAGATCAGAGCCGCTTGAAGGCACTGAAAGACAACTCTGGGTGTTGCTATGAAAGCACTCCCCTCAAAGATGCATCTACGAGCGTGACAGGGACAGACACAGACATCGCCATTCCGGCGCCTGCTACGCCTGCTTGAGAAAGTGAAGTCAAGACTGACACGAAATGCATGAGGCGATTACTCCAAGCAGATGGTGCTGGACTGCATTCGCAACTTGTGCCCCCACACGGTTGTGTTGACTGAAAAGCTCGCGGCCCCACTTCGCATGGTGCGGGGCTAAGGCACAAAGAAGCGACACATTGATGTCCAATCTTGTTTCGTCCGAGGAGATGGTTGACGCTTTGACAAATGAAAGGCAGCTCCTTCAAACAGAGGAATCACAGATGCCTGCCTGCAAGATTTGTCAGCACAAGCTGAGACAGCTGAAAAGGGGCTGAACGCTGACCAGATGCCAGACCCTGCACACACCTGAGGGCTCACATGTAGCCTTGCCCAGCATTCCTGCAGATAAGGACTGGCTGCTGCACTCTGGCATGCATCTCACTGGATAAGATGTTTGACGTGTTTGCCGGGTCGCCATCATTGTCAATCTTCCAGGCTAATGAAGCTGCAGCCACTCGCCAGAATTGCCATCAGGCGTGGCCTTTTTGCAGGCAAGCCCAGCGCTGGGCATTTGCTTTTGACACGCTGGGACAATTGTCTTTGCGCTCTTCCAAAAATTCATTCAACTTGAACGCCGCTTCCCAATCGAAAGCTGGCAAATTCAGGCAACCCTCAGAATAAAACGAGTGAATATGAGCACATTTACTGATGCTGTCTTCTCTATCGTATGAGGCCCGTGGCAGATTTGAAGCCCTGCTGGACCTGGGTGCCTTTCCAAATCTTCCACTAGAAGCCGCTTGACTGCATCTCCGCGAGACACCCCATGCGAACAATCGATATGTTGCAACAATCGCAAAAGCGGTTGCGGTAGGAATTGGAGTGCCCTTCTCACCTTTGTGGATTTCTCCATTGCTGCCCAGCAGGTTGTTTGGGTGCTTGCCGCCTTCGGCGATGACGCGCTCTATCAAGCTGGAGAAACGATTGTCAGAGAAGGGGACCCTGGAGTGTCTGAGCTACTTGTCTCAGCTTTGCCTGCGGATTGACACACTAACTTAGGGCGTCTGAGTTTCGGGACCTTACTACCAAGCGAAAGGACACCAAGCATTTGACAATGTTTTCTCCTGAAGACTTGACGCACGGTTACGAGGAAAACCTGGGTCTGTCACAGTTTTCTTGGACAACTTTGGATGGCTTGAAATGCAAACCAACAGGAAGCCAAGCACGTGGATGGCTCTGAATTTGATCTTATTTGCCTCAGGTCTTTGCTCATTCTGGCCAGCGGGTCTGCAGATGTGCACAAAGTCATGTTTGCTAGCGAGATCCTGGAAGCCAAGAGTTTCAAGATTGGAAAGCTGAGTCCAGGCCGGGTTTCGATGGCAAGGATTTCAATGGTTGGAACTCAAAATTGTTTGATTGACATCAATCGCCATTCGGGCCCACAATCAAAATCACAATGGATACATCGTACCAGCAGCCGCAGCGACTTTGAACGTGTCCGTCCACTCGAGGGCTGCGAACAAAGAAGGGGGGGGCCACAGTGCAAGCGTCTTGCTGCAAAAGTGACAGGAGCTCCTGCCAAGGCACCTTGCTTGTTGGGGATCTTTCCCTGCAGGGACTGTTCAGCATGGACCTTGCAAGTGGATGTGGACATAAATTGCGGATGGCTTGACAACCGGCACAGTTCAAATGGTTGGACATGAACGCGCGCATAAATGATGTCCGCGCAAGGGCCTGAATCTGACATGATAGTTCTATCATCGCCAGGCTGCATCATTGGCGATGCCTGCTTTATCGACTCCAGGGTATCGCGCCCGGCTTCAGTTATCGCAACTTGGGTTGAGAAGCTATGGACATACCTGCAAATAATTGGTAGCCATTGTTTGAAATCACAAAGATAACACGATTCATTTGAGAGTGACACACTCTTACAGTACGAATGTTGAAAAAGGCATCAAGTCGTCTTAATTGTAATCGCTTCGCGCTGCCCGCCTTGATCAGTATCAGCCGGATTGTTGTGGTTGGCTTTGAAGCGTGAATTCACTAGATGTTTCAACATGCGCAATTCCAATTTGGCTTTGGGCTTCCGGGGTTTGGGGAAACATAATTTATGCTTGAGGAGCCTTTCTTAGCAATTAGGGGAAGGGATGAAACCAGAAGAACACCGCATGCTCGAGAAAGTTGATGCCGGGGCTGGGCCAAGCAGTCTGGCAGGCTGCAGCGCAAAGTGGGTGCCAGAAACTAAAACTCGAGCGGCGGTTGTAGTCTAGGCGCGAAAGATTGAGGGGCATGAAGGTGTGGCCAGCCCCGTGGCGTGGAGTGAATTTAAGCCCCAGTTCTCGGGGTCGGCAAGACGCTGCCGTAGCCGAAGGCGCTGTCCAAGAGCGACAGCAGGATACAAGTGTCATGCAAGGCGGCCGCTGTGCTGAAAGAAGGCGCCTGAGCCAAATGCCGCGCAGCCAACCACCCCGCCCCCCCAAGTCCAAACACGGAAAGCTCAACCCTGGTTCCTCATGTCGCCTTTGACAGATCTGCTGACGATGCTGCAACAATACTTGCATTTTGGCAGCATTGACTCCCAGCATGAATGTCGCCTGCCGCACTTCTCTTGCTGCCATGCCGGTTGTTTCTTCTGCAGAACACCCCCTAGTGTCGTCGGCCGTTTCCGGCACAGAAATCACTGCGCGTTCCCCCGCCCCAGCCCCCCCCGCAAACAGCTTGCCTATATTCCTGCAGCGCGCCACACCCAAGACCAGAGTAGGCGAGATGAACCCTTGCTTCCATGGCGTCACCAAACCAGCCTTAGTGGGCTGGGGCCAGGCAAGGCTGGGGCCTGGTCGGGGCGAGAAGTGAAGGTGCCACGGCCCAAGCGCGGCAGCTGTCCAAGGCCGCAGTGGGCACAAGGGGTCGCAGCCGAACTAGAAACCTGGGATCTGGCAGCTGCCGCAGTCCAAGGGCAAGGGGCTGCCGTGGTGGGGGGGAGAACAGCCAACCACAATTCCCCGCAGAAGGCGGGGCTGGTCGCTTCAGGGCAGCTGGTTTGTGGGGGGCTCACCATTGATTTCTCCAGCAAGCATATTTGTACCAAACCGTAACTTTGACGCTTGATAGGAACGTGCGCGTAAATAAGATGAATCCAACAATCGAGCTCGCTTTTCAGGCTCGGTGTTGTGGACTCACCAAAGGCTTGCGCGGCATCCAAGGCAAGCGAAGCTTCGCAAGTGATCAGCATACCTGCAAGGCCGGGAATCACGGCTCAGGATAGTTGGTTTTGCCTGGCTCGCAGCAGGATTCATTGACAGAAGCAGACAGTGATAGTTTGGACACTGACCAGTTTCAGGTTCCTCGGTTTAGATACAGAGCCTAAGTTGCTGCTTACACGCGTTCCTCGCGGCAGGGCCTTTCTGGAGACCATGGCCTCCTACCCCGGCCTCTCAGCAGCAAGCCGAAAGCTGACTCGATTTGGGGACTCACCATCCCTTGCAGGGTGGCTGACACATCGCAGCATCGGCTTAGTTAGTTTAAACGGGACACGAAGAACCCTGTGTTTCCGCGACCGGCATGGTTGCGCAAAAAACACGATTCGCCGTTGATGTGGATTGGGTCCCAAGCAATTCCAGCCTTTCGATGGGAGCCCACTTCCGATATGCGCTCTCAGCAGCTCCCTTGCTTGCAAAGTCCCCCCGAGTGCTGGTCATTGAGGCATGGCATCCATCTATCTGTCTCGGACGCGGGACACATCCATGGTGCTGCAAAATAGTTTGACAAGGCCGTCGATGCTTGATGCTTCATAGGAATGATGGCTTTGAGTTCAAGCGAGAGACCACACTGGAATTGAGTGCTGAGGGGCAAAAGTTTCGGACTTCTTTCAGAAGTAGGAGGAAAACATGCTCTTTCGGCTGTAGGGAGGGGCTGAAGGTGTCGATTGTTCGATTATTCAAAGTCCGCCTGCGACCTCGCAGAGTTAGATGCCTGTACGGTTGCTGAGAACTGAAGGCTCCAATGGCATTGTGATATCGGCACACATTCACCAATTGAGCGTTGCATCCAACAAACATGTTCCTTGTGAATGGTTTGGCTGGATATTATGGGCTTGTCTCAAAGACCCTTTGAAAGCCGACAATGGGTGTTGCCCCGGATCCTGCTCACTGTTGTCACGCTGGAGTGCCAATGATGGCAAGCATGGCCTGCGAGGCCTGCTGATGTGCTCGCTGGCATGCGGCTCTTTCACGGCGGCTTGCCTGACAGAGAGCTAAGTTTGGTTTTTGCTAGAACTTATCAGAGTTGGCTGGTGCGTGATTGTACTGAAGGCTTGAATGCATCGTTTATTCGGTCTCTTGCCAACATCACTGAGCGCAAGATGAACTTCTTGGGGGATGTGTTCAAGGACTGCTGCCGAGGCTTACAAGCCACTGTCACATGCTCCAAGAGTGTCAGGAGCAGGGCAGCACAGACCGCACGCTTCGATTGCTGGAGTTTGGAAAGGTGCGCGTCGAGATAGAGAACCGAGGCAGGGAAGCTGGTTGAATTGACGTAGAGTCCATAGTGGCCTGCAGGCTGCGTGGCGATGACTGAAGTGGGCCAAGTGCTTGGGGAGAACATGTTCCTTGGAAAGCGCGCAGTATCCCAGGCCGAGTCGGCCAGCTTGGCTTGCTTTCGCTTGGCTTCCTGAGAGGCGACCTTTCGCGTGGCGACGCCCCTGGCCGTGATGCTGTGGATTGCGCACCATTCCTTCGAGAATATCATTGACGCATATCCCTCGGCCGCTCGTACAGGGACAGGCAGGACGGGTGCATGCCTTTGCGAGGGCATGCACAGAAACGAATGTTGCGAATGTTAGATCATAGGCAAGTAACAATCCTTAGTTTGAGCAGCACTCGTAGCAGATTCCACTAAGCAGCACTGCAATCCAGAAGAATCCACTTGATGGAAGAGCAATAGTTATCGCAAGAAATGGGGACACATCAAATGGTTGATTTCCTTTGGGTTCAAAGCAACCTCAAAAAGGGTACCCTGAAAGAAAGACACCCATGTTTTAAGACATGTGGCTGCCCGACCTCCGTTCGCCACCGACGCACAGCTTAGGAAGCTGCCCACTTTCGCGCCATTGAGACAGACAATGGCACGGAGGATAAGGGTTCACGACACAAATGCGCTAAGCCCAATCTGTCCAACATTGTCCAACCATAGTAAATCGTCCCGCGTTCAAGTCGAAAGAAATCTTTAGCCCGGTCCATGGAGCGGTGTTCGTTAAGGTCAGCTTGGTTTCAGTTGTGCTTATTTGCCAGTGGATTACATCTAGTTTTCCCTAAGGACATCTCTCAGAACCCTGAAACCCAGGGGAAGCAAAAGCGCAGAGGACATGAGCCACCACGCCATGGACCTGAAGCTCTTCCAAGGCTGTGGCCGCAGCCACTGGACAGGAACGGCTGGCCAACGTCGAGGTTAGCCACCCTTCAGGGGCACGGTACTTGTAGCAGCACCAGGCTTGATTGACCTCGATGGCTTTCCGAATCGGGCTTGCTTTTAAGATCGCCAAGAAGGACTCTTAACATGTTGAAAGGCTTTCCAAATGTCAGTCACAATGCGAGACGCAAAACCATTGTGCCTTGATTGGGAAGCATGTTTCCTCGGCATGTTTTGCAGGTTCTGCTTTCATGCATTTGTCAGCCAAACAAGACAACCACATTGCCCCTTTGGCTCAGCTCCGGCACAAGGCTTCATCCAGAGCATTGCAAAGTGCATCAGCCGGCGAGCGTACAAGCCGGGGCAGACCATTGTTGTTCAGAAGGCGGTAGACGAAGGTTCCACGGCTGCGCAGATCTTTTTTTGTTGGGTGAGTGAGCACGTATTGTGACCGCCCCTCCAAGTCTTTGCCGAATCGTTCATTTCCATGCCAGAACTTCAGAATCGAGAGTCACACTGAGTGTAAGCCCCCTGGTCGAGGAAGGGGGATGTTCTCAAAATCGACCCTTCAAGCATAGAAGAAGACAGAGAGAGAGAGAGAGAGAGAGAACTGAAGGGTTGTGAATCAGTCGCTCAGTTGGGTTCCTGAGCAATGGACTCCGCACCAATCTTGTGGCACGATGCCAACTGTTTCCCGAGGTTGGTTCAAAGGCAAACCAGATGGCAGCCATTTTGAGGGTGCTCAGCTCGTAATTTGGCACTTGCCCAAGTGCGGAGATCTTCAGTATCCAAGGATCACTGTTCATTGTCTCCGCTGGGAAAGCAGCTGTGGTGATCAACAGTCAGACGCAACAGGACCATCGATTGCAGGGTACAAGGTCCTGCATGCACGAGGGGCGTTCGGTCAAAATTTACAGTCTATAGAGAGTGCATAGCAATGTTTGCCGTGGCTGACATGGCTTTAGTGCGGGTTTATTGGGCATGGTCCCGGGTATCTTCCACAGTCGTGTGTTCTTTTGCACCGACCCCAAATATGGAATGATCAGGAAACTTAATTGGGAAACAGCGCTTCACCGAGCACTTCTCACTGCCACAGGAGCTGTCCACCGGCGACGTATTTGGTGGCTGAGTGGCAACCATTCGCTGGATTTCGGTGCACCTTCCTGTGAGAAACGAGGGACACATCAGGAGACCGCATTCTAGAATTGAGAAAAAGCCTGGGTGGTTTGTTCCACGGACACCGAAACGGGACAAACCCGAGGAACCCTTGAGACCTCGGTCAACTCCTGAGGCGAGCTTGCCCTCCTTGGCTTGGTGCAGAGAAGGGCAGCCGCTCGGAAGGGAGGCGTGCGCGCATTTACGTTCAAGCATCCCCGTGTTCAAAAAGTAGTGACAGTTGCAAATGGAATGGGCTGAGTTCTTTTGTTTTTCTTTTCTGAAGCACCACCCAAAGCGATCCCTATTGTTGAGACACTGCGAGGCCAGCACTTGACCAAATGTCATTTCTCGTGAGCGGTTGTTGAGAGCCCTGACACACCCGCCAGAGATCTGAGGCGACCGTGTCTGCCATCACCTACTGCATATGCTTGGAGATGCCACGGCCAGCTTTCTTGAAAGCCTTGGACAGTCATCCCGAGGACCGTGCTATGAAATGCAGCATGAAGCCAAGCAAGCACGCATTTTGACAGCCTCGCAAGCACAGGAGACAGACCATTTCGAGCAGCTGGGGTCTCAGAGCGCCGAACCTCACGACATCTCTCTTTCAATCGGCCAAAATGAAACCCGGAAAGTTGGAGACCTCGGTCTGCTCCACTATGAGGCTTTTTGGGGTTCCCCGGAACCATCAAGAATGCTGGTGGCTTCTGGTATTTGGTTCGACTGGTCGTCGAGTCGCTTGCTCAGGCTCACGCGCCTCCACGCGGTGCAGGTGGCCTCTGAGAGCGGCACCTGGCCTTTTCTGGCCAAGGCGATGAATTGTGGCCCTGCCAGCTCGAACTTAGGTAGGTGTGATCCTGCGTTTTCTGAATTGGTTCAGCCGGTTGTGGGCAAGTGAGAACACACGCAGAACAGTGATGCTCGGCATGGAAGCAAAATCATGCACTTTGTCGTGCACATCAAGCAAGGGAAATCAACGCCAGGACAGCCCGACATGTCATGAAGGGTTTGTTCCTTTTGCTCCGCTGGCGCAGGCGTCCGACCGGCTGTGCCGAGGCTGCAAAAAGCTGAGACCAAGACAGACAATAATTACGTAGTAATTAGGCAGGCAGTCACGTGGCCGCGGGGGCCGGCAAGACCCTTCTGTTAGCCAATCGAGTCATGGATTCTTCAGCTCAATAGGCATTATTAATAAGATTCTACAAATGCCAAAAGTCATGAGGGATACCCATTAAGCCAGTTTGAACATCACGTATGGGCCCATGGGAGTTTCTGTGAGTGGTTGCGGGGTGACGCAAAAGAGGAAATGTGGGGAGCCTTGGCAAATGTCACATGCTAAGCAATATCGCATCCTTAAGACAGTAGGGCCATTCATTGGTGTCAACATGCTTCAATGCATGGCCCCGTCTAACAGTTTGTTTGCTTGAACGATTCTACGGTGAATTGTTGTCCCATGGACTTGCCACGGATTCCCATGCGTTCACTTGAAACTTGAAACTCACCCCCCGCCACCCGCCCTGGGAACAGGTACTGTTTGGCGGATTTTTCTGAGACCTCCACTAAAAAGCACAACTTGAGGCTCTACTATGTCAACCTCCATGCCACTCGCGAGAGCAACTCGGCCAAAGAACTCGTGATCCCGTCAACAGGATGGAGTTACGAATGGGGATCGGATGGGCGGTCTCACATTCTGTTCACCCTGTAGGTTTTTGCAAAGCCTGCGACCTTCCGGGGTGTCGGGTCGTTTTCTGAGAACAAAGGATCCATGAATGGAAAGTATGGGAGGCTGGAAATCGGGGGTCTTTCTCTCTCGCTCTCTCCCCCTCTCTCTGGGCATGAGGTACCCCGCCTGGCGAGTGGATCACGCGAGAAGGCGCTCCGCTGCCCATCGACTTGGCGTTTCTCATCGTGTCAGGCCCGACAAGTCGAACTGTGGGCGTTTCAAGTCCTTCGGAGGGGCTGCGAAATGGGAAAGAACAAACCCACACGGAGCCAGCAGGCGACCCGAGGTGTTGGAATGACAGGATATGGAGCTCATTGTGATTGGTCATGGGAAGGGTGTGTGTCGTTGCGTGCACTGCGTTCATTCAGAGTATGAATCGTCAAGTGCTGCTGGCTTACAAGGGCTGGATTTGAAAGAGAGAGAACTGACCGCGGGCTTTGACAGGGCGAACAGGCACCATTTGCCGCTGCTTTTCGTTTTAACGGAGGCTACTGACATTTGCTACCACATAGATCCAACGATGAGCACGCTTCTTATGTATTATAATTTCCACCTTGTGAGCGTATTCATGTGGGCCTCATGAAATACTCGGGAATTATGCTACTGACTTTGTAGGTCCGTAGGTGTTACTTCGTCTTCCGAGTGAGAAGTGCAACTCCCCATGCAGAGCACACGGGAAAACAATAGGCCTGCGCTTAGGTGAGATTTACATCACGGAGGAGAACGGCCATCGTACATTGATGCCTGAAGGGAGTTGCTTCGGCACCTCGCCTTACGATGGCAGTGAGTCTGTGAGTGGTACAAGGTGCCGTTGAACCGAATCGCCTTCACTATCCAAGGCTTCGTTTTTTGGTGTTTTGGAGCACTTCAACTGTTGGTCGGTGTCTCTATTGCATCCTACTACATAATTACATTTGGTTGTGCTCAAGCGAGTATGCAGACGTGCTAACGCAGCAGCTCCTTGCTGGTCAAACTGCCTTTGGCAGCAAGTAGGGCGCAACTCTTGCAGAGCCAGGAGGAAGCAGCAGCGCTTAAAAGCCCCGAAATGGGAACATACGCAGCGGACGGCGTGCAACACATGTGCTTTCTTTGGGAGTTCTAATGGCACATACGCTGGATTTTGCATGCGACACGAGGTGCGTCAAATTTGTGTCAATCTCGAACTGGACCCGACCCGTGGTGTTGAGTCCTGAATTCCAAGGTGGTTCTCATAGGTGGGATCTTCCCACACCGTTTGCTGTACCTGCGTGTTTCCTTCGATCGAGCGGAAGCGAAGATAATCGGAAGTTAAGATGTGAAAACATAGAAGCGGACAGTCACAGTTCAGGCCCTCACAATAACCCTTGCTCGCTGTACAAGGAGCAGGGCCCGAAAAAGAAAGCATACCACTTGCAGCGAATCACATGGTGAGTCATTCAATATGTTGGAGCCAAATGCCCAAAACTCCGAAGCTGTGAGGGGAGCACATCTTGATTGGGCTGGCGGCGGGTGTGACGGCCATCGAGCCCAAGACGGCCTGCGAGCTGCAGATGATGAGCCGCGGAGTCTTTGAGCCTTGGAATGAGGGCGCGATTTTGACTGCTTGGAATACCCGCAAATCCCCGCGAACGTGATGTCCAACAAAGGATCCCTAAATAGAATTCATGCGGAAGTTTGGGCATTGGTGTCCTTTCTTTTGTCATTTTGGCTGAACATTCTGATAATAGTACTATGGCTTCAACTGTTTTTCGGTTTGGTTCCAATCACTGCCTGTGCGACCAAGTGTGGTTTCCTTTGGGTTTCCCTTTAAAATTGCTGCAAAGGGAGAACTCTGCACAAAGACACGCCCATGTGTCCACAAGGACGCCTAAGAAGGTGGGTGTTTGTTCAAATATATGGGACTCGAAAACTGGTGAGGTCCCTTGAGGTTTCCCTGCAACCAAGGAATCGACCCCCCAAAAAAATAAGCTCGATTTGCGGTACGCCCATGATGTTGGGGTGCCTCTTTTTGATGTTTGATGGGGTTGAGGGTTGAGTGGGTGTCTTCCAGATCCACCAGCAAAATCAAACATGGATACTGGCAAGCTTCCTCTCCAACAACCGTAGAGCACAGGCTGGCTTTTCGTGCGAAACGCAGTCTTCGGAAGACGCTTGTGGGTCCTGATTGCAATTTTCTCAGGCTTCGGGAAGTGCTCACTGAGGAAAAGGTTCTGGCAGAGTGCCCTGACGAGCGCGACAGCTGCATCCAGGGTGTGCTGGATGAAATGGCAATGAAGGCCGAGCAGAAGCTGGGCATAACGAGAGGCGGGCGGAAAGACAGCCACCTGACAACAACACACCCAGACGCCGGCACGTCTTGGATCTTGTTGGTAGCAAAAACTGAATACCCGCTACAATGAAGTGTCAATCTCCTCAACCCATCAGCATGCATGTGGGGGTGTCTTTTGAGCTCCTCCGGGGTTGAAAGGGATGTCAGTTTTGGTTGTGCGTCACCTGCCCAGCTTTTCGCTCGGCAGGTGCTCCGGACGTCTTGAAGTTCAGCGCCTTCTTCCGGGCAGCCGACCAGGACTTCGCCAGGCAGATGCGCTGCTTGGCCGGGCGACGGATCGAGGCTTCCCCATAGCAAGCGCCGCCCAAAATCGGAGGCCAAGGGCGAGATGTGGAGGACCTGGGATGTGTGTTTGCTTTTTCTCATTTTTTAAAACTCAGGGTGACTCAGCTCCATGGCTCTACCTGCTTTTCCCAGCACAATACTACCGTTACCTTGCAAAGAAGGAGGGGGCTTCCCCCTAGCCCCTGCTCTCCCAACCCTTCCGAAGGGTCCAATGTCCGTGATGCCAGTTTGGAACTGATAGGGGCGGTTGCTGTCTTCTTTCCCTTCGACCATCAAAATGGCCAGCATTGCTCTTTCATGTTGGCAGAATCGCAAGGTGTTTCGAGCGCAAGTCAAAGTGCCGAGGCCCAAGAATGTATGCCTTGCTCTTCAAGGCGCGCATTTGTGCCAGCTTGCCCGGCTTGCGCAAAAGCAAGAGTTGAGGCCGGCGACTTCATTGTGCGTGAGAGGGACTATGCCACCAACATGTACATTGTCGTCAGGCCCGATGAGGTGTTTTTTTTCCTTTCAACACAAAGTGTTGCAAGGGGCAGTGCGGAAGTCAAATGCGGAGACACCACCGTGATGCGCTTCAAAGCAGGCGTGAGCACTCTGCTTCGAGAACGTCGGCCGTTGTTTGTTTGTTTTTTTGTGCGTGAACATTCGCTGAGAATGGTTTTTGATGCTGTCTCAGTGTTTAGCTTACAACTCCTTTGCCGTTCTTTGGAGTTACGTGGGTTTCAAATCTTGGGCACTTAGTTCTCGCCAGGAATGGTTGCAGCGGCAGAATCCCGTGTTGCCAGGAAATGCAATTTCTGAAGCTTCCGTTCTGGGTGCGTGCACCTTCCATCCGTATGCAGTGCCCTGGCAGTAAGATTGGTGAAACAGTCAGAAGGTCTGGATCCAGGAACCAAAAAACGTCAAGTCCCTGTCTCGTTTATAGCCTAGCCCCTCCTTCTTAGCCCCATTCGCTTGCGCCAGCTGAGCCATGGCCAGCCAAGAGTTCTTTCGGCTGTCAGCAACCAGCAAAAGCAGAGATCTCAGATAGCCTTTGAAGGGCAAGCGGCTGAACCTGAGCTGACAACAGTGTGCGTGTGTCATGGCATTCGCAATGGGTCTGAGCATGATTTGGAAGCTTTTGGTGGAGATCAGTTCTATGGGGATTTATGTCCACCAACATTTTTTGAGGGGCGCATGCACATGCCACAAGGCCAGGCCGCTTTGAGAGGAAAGCAGTCCAGAGTCCAAACCAAAACCGACTTTTGACCTTTGTTCGCCCAGTTTTGATCTATGTTTAGTGAATGTTCCAAAAGGTCAACCATTTGTTACTGGGTCTTTTGGGGAAGTGAGTCTCTGAGTAGATGTGTGGTGTTTGCAACGATATGACCGCACTGAGGTGCAGGCTTCCAGCCTGTGCCTGCTTTTGGCCTTGACGCGCGATGACTTTGAGGACACGAAAAAGAAACCAGTTGGTTCTATTGGAACACGGATGGCCCTTGCCGTACTTTGAAGAACACACTGCAAGCGCCAAAAAAGGTCAACTCACATTTCAAGGCCAAGTTGACGTGAGCTTTCATTCGGTTCCTGACGGCTTTGGAGAGGGACATACGGGCACTCCCGAAATCCCAGGTGTGCTGCAGTGAATCCACTGATTCGTGATGGGTCATGGCTTGCGGCTCGAAACAGTGGTAGCCTTTGTGAGGAGGTTCTCGAGAGATTCCCCAAGGAGGACACAGTGCTACTCCACAGCAATGACTGCCTTCTTGCCGAGGGGCAACAAACCACCTTTTGGACTGTACAATTGCTGGCTACAGGGATTTCGGAGGGGTTGTACATGGGGACTCATGTCCTTGCCATGTGCCCTATCCCTCTCCGATTTGGCTTCCTTTTCTTCTGTGTAGCAATGGCCCTTTGTCTTTGCCTTTGCCCTTAATGTAGTTTGGCAGTGTTTTGGAAATCTAGCTTCCGTCACCGTTTCCTTCCTTCTCAGGGTCCAGGAAGCTCTGTACTGGTGTCTTATAGATATAACTTACCCACTCGCACGACCTGGAGTTACCCGGGCTTCGCACACACACGAGTGGAACAACGAGAAGGTGAGCAGACAGCATGCGCAAGACATCTTGTGGACCATCACAATGTTGAGGCCTGCTTGCACAACAGTGTGGCAATTGAACCACAGAGCCGATACAAGTTGAACCATGAATATGCTCGAGCCTCGAGCTCGCCAATGTATGCTGGCCCGAGGTTTCAAGAGTTGCTGGCTGATGAGGAGGCGCGGCACCTGGTTTTGAATTTCGCGCTCTATCACTACTTAATAAGAACCGTGCAAAGTCGTGCTGCCATGAGGACATTTTATTGCGGCTGCCACGCGTGCTGAAGATCCACCACCCCTTGTTTGCGTCATCAAGTGCCGAGCCTGATGCATGCTTTCGAGCGAATTGACTTGCAGACACTCAACATCTTGCTGGCCATAGCGCGCGAAACCGCTTACCCGAGGCATCGACTTCTTGAAGGTTGCCTGCGAATTTGCTGACGAGGCACATCCATTTTTTGCAATGCGGCGAGGCTGCCACGAAGTTGACACCAGGTCTTCTTTGCACCTGGTGAAGAGATCATCGCCTTTGGCGAAAGCTGCAGTCTTGGGCAAACCGAAATGCCCCTTGGACAAATCCATATTCGAGGAATTGATTTTGCGCTTTCAGTGAACATGTTTTGCCGGAAGGTACCTTTTGGTGGCGGGAAATGCATTGGTGATTCTCGCTCATGGCGATGTAGTGGCCACCATCAAGTCAGGCTGGGAGTTCGTCTCATGAGTCAAATCCAGACGACCACGCTCAGCCAGATAAGTTTTCTCGAAGCTTGTTTCACCCAAAGGCCTTGGTTAGCTCAATATGTATGGTGGTGGCCTCCAAAACCAGTCCCCATCAACTCCCAACCGGCGATTTTTTGCGCCACCAGTACACCGTGTCCAAGAGATCAATGAGAACGGCAGGTAACATTGTTGGAGAAGGAGGTGCGCTCGGCATCGCCAACAAGCGGTCAACGAAGATTGGTGCATGGAAGGTGGGCGTGGTATCATCGTTCAAAGCTTCAGAGAACCTGAAACAAGGCCCAAGGACCTTTGATTTGATTTCAAGGCAAGTGAAGGAGACTTGCCGTCGCTTTTGGTAGATGACTGAATGAATGGGACCAGCTTTTTGCCTGAGCCGGTTGTTCTCCTTGCCAGGCAGGAATGGTTCGGCTTATCCGCTTGCAGGGGCCTTCCATTGGCAAGGCCGGAAGCCGAGCAGAGCTTCAAGGAATGAGCCAAGAGGATGAGTATCACAGAGCAAAAGGTAAACAGGGGAATGGTCAATTTGGACTTGGTTTTGGTACATGCTCCTTTGGAAGCGCCGCTCACTCGGCGCGTGAGAATTTCTTGCAGGCAGTGGAAAAGCATCCAGAAGACTGCGAGGCGTTGAAGAGGCAGTTTGACGAGCGCCGCTAGACATCCATTTCAGAACTATTGACGAGCTTCAAGAGGCTTGCACTTTGCACTGGTCATGGCTTGCATGTGCATCCTGGGTCAGCATGGAATCGGCCTGTCTGGCAATCAAAGAATGAACACGCGTGATGCGTATTGGATGGTCGCTGCCTCTGAAGTTGGCCCGACAACTGCCGAAGTCTCTTGATGTCCAGTCAAGTGAGGGCTTCTATTGCCTTGATGTGATGGGCTGTTTGTGTGGCTAGCTGTACGTGGCTAGTAGAGCTGAATCTTGGAAGAGGTGCTGGGCTTCTATGGTAAGGGGAGTGGGCTGGCAACAAAAGCTGTTCGGCGACCACAATATCTCGCCTAATGTACCGGATCTCTTTCAACCTCCGAAGTTACACAGAAGGGAGCCCGCCCAGTACTCTATTGTAGAAGCCCTACATTCAATATACACATTGACTCTAGAGTCTTTCCCCCCGCCTCCATTCTCTCCGAAGATCTTTCTTTTCAAAATTATTGGTCCTGGAGTTGTAGCAGTTACCTGAAAGAATCATGGCTTAACAGGAAGGGGGACCATCAACCAGTGACTCGGATGTAGGGGCAGCTTCTGAATTCTGAGAAAATCTCGCACGTCCCCATGGCCTGACATCCGACAGCAGGGCGTAATTGTTTTGAGCCCACAAAGTACCCACAAGGTGAATTCGCCGAAAAAACCACTGGGTGACCCCCGAGCGAGCGACCAAAAACGCGCATGTGAGGTTCGCAGAAAAACGCAGAGGCCGAGGCTTTGCGCAAGGAGTGGATCACCAAATCGGTGATCCCGCTCCTCCAGCACTGTGACTCTGCTTGGTTTATGTGCCATCAGAAGACCCGTTGGGGTCAGTGGAGTATTGCAAGGTCCCCACAGAAGGACTTTTGGCCATGGCACATAGTATGAGTCACTGGCAATACTACCGGTATTGGTTTTGGGTTGGCCCATGGTGTTTGGTGGAAACAATGTCGGGTACAATATGGTGATGTTACCCGTTTCTGCTTGGTCTTACCAAGAACACGGAAACCAGCGCGGGAAACACCCGTGTCAATTGTGCTTTATTTTTAGTTTTTTGAGATTGTCATGTTATTGTTCCCTTTATATATCCTTTGTCCAATCATGGGAGCTGACGGGAGGTTTGCGGAACACCACAGTGCGTCCAGTTCACGTCCTAGACGGTCCCGCTTGCGAGCAGTAGACAGAGGTGAACTGTTCAACGGCTTCTCCAGAAAGTTGGTCGCCAAGATTGCAGCGCCACTCCTCAAGATCAAGTGACTTGGTTTGAGCTTGCTGGCGGTTGGGATGTGCAGTGCCAGGGGCAAGGTTTGGGTCTCAAAGGTGCTTGTGATGAACTGAGGTTTGCTGCTGGTCAGAATTTGTGCAACCTCGGGGATGCCGCTGACTCTTTGAGACTTGGGCAGAAAAGCATGAAGACAGTACGCGAGGATCGTCCAAAGCCCTCTTCTTGCTTTTTTGGAAGAGCTGAGCACAGTAGCATTTTCAGTGCAAGGAGCAGAGGGCGATGCTCCCTGCAAACACTTGCCACTGGAACTACCACAACGGATGCCATGTGCATGTGTTAGATGATATTGAGCATTTTCCAGGGCATGCTGCTGGAATTTGCTACAGGATCTTGATCATTGATGGTGACGCCGAAGCCAAAGCGAAGGACGGGAAAGTGGCTTCCAGACTGCAGCAAAATGTCCCTTCAAGGAAATGGGCACTTGCTTGATCATTTGTTGCCCAGGTTTCCCCGCTTTCCACTGGAGCAGCCCGAACCTGAGCAATATGTGCCATGCGTGTATGGCCCAACGGCTTTGGGGATAAGCACGCCCTGAGAGAGAGATTGTGTTTTGATGCCCTGTATATTTGAAGCTTGGGTATTTTTCTGGGCATGTACAGCGCGTAGGGGACCGATTTTTTTCTACATCTCGCTTCCGGGAGCAGCGATCACAGGTCACCGGAGAGTTGGCCATCCTTGGGCTTTTCCCCTACCGCACGGCCACGGTGACTGCTTTGCGTCCAACGGACACTGCCACTCGGAGTCAGCTGAACCGAAACTGATGCTTCTTCCAGCTTGGTCTCACTACATTGCAGGTGATCGTGACACCCTTCATTCTTCGAGGGGTCTTGCAGACGTCAGAGGCGGGGGCAGTGGCATGGAGTGAGCTCTGAAGTGCAATGCCTAGTTGTTTAGAGCAGATAGGACCAGCTGTCCCAGATTCTCAGCCAATTGATGTGTATGGCTCCGGTGTCCCAAGATGACCAATCATGCTCCACCGAAAACCACGGCCCCCTGCACGCCCTTGAGGCAGCCAAGAAGCATCTAGATAAGCTGGCGGCAGAGAAGCTGACACAGGTCGAGCGAGGCAAGGTGACGTTGTTTGTGAAACAATCCCGGCTGGTGGTATTATAAGGTGTGTACAGACAGGAATGCATCCCTGGGTAACTTTTCCCATTTTGTAGTGAAAGTCATGTTTCTTGGTGGATTGCCTGAAGGTAGCCCCACGTAGAGAACCATTTGATCATGATCAACCTCCATGTACTTTCTATGAAAGGAACCTTGTAGCTTCCATGCAGGTTCAACAAAACTTAAACCTTGATTGTGGCCTGTGCGATCCTACATTCTTCAGTCAACAGGTGGTATGCAAATGGCTCCGACATGGCTTGTGCTTTTGTGCTGGTGCGATTTAAGGTTTCTCTTCAGTGCGGTCTTAGCGCGTACCCCTTCCCTTACTGTATTGCTATTCACGAAAGCTAGCTTTAGCTAGCTGAAGTTTCTCCTTGCGTAAGCAAAGTAAGAAACTCAAATGCCGAAAGATTGATTTTTTCAATTATTTGAGCCGAAAAGATTGAAAAACATCAATTATTTAGACCCCCCCCCCTCCCCCCCCGCCCGGTCTCAGGCTCGATTCCTCCCTGGTCCATCCCCCCCCCCGGGCAGTGGCTCAGTGTTCAGCAGTCTCGGTTTGCCTGCTACGAACTTTTACATGTTCCACCGATTCAGCTTGTTCTTTTGAGACCTCAGTCTTCTCAGTAAACCACCTCGCAAGAATCTTTGCACACGCAGCATGCAGAACCCAGAGGTGCTTTAAGACAGCTTCTGACGCCTCTCGTTGTTTTCATTTTTCAAGGTTTGCCACGTCACCATGTGCGTTTGCGTGTCGCATCCTACGAATCTTGCCGGGCCTCTCGTTGTACACAAGCTACCCATGAATCCACTCTGTCACCGACCCATCTCATGCAACAACTGCTAGCTTTCGTTCACCCGCTCCTCAAGTGCGCCAAATCAAGGCAGAAGATACAAGGCTAGTCTCTAAGAAACTGTCAGCATTTCTATGCGTTCAGGTATAGAGCCCTTGCAACCAGTAGCCACAGCCACGTATCACTGGCAAGGCTCTCCAATGTTGTCCTTGCCCTTGGGAGCACCCAGCGACGACCTTCTGGTGCGTTCAATTGCGCTGCACTCGGTCTCTTGGCTATGACACGTTTGAAAGCCGATTCTGCTTCAAGTTGGGAACGGCTTAGCGACCCAAACCTCGAGGTGAGCTGAAATGAATGGGTTGCTACGAGCTTTCCGAGCCTTCCCTTCTAATCCGGTGCTAAGACTCGGTACGTTCTCACAGCGGGGGAAGCTTGGCAGCCGCCCGGGAACGCAGCGGCCAGCGGCGATCACTATTGGGCAGGGCACTGAGGCATTTGCTTTACGTGGTGCCCTGAGTGGTTCCCTTCATGTCACACGTCCCCCAAAATTTGGTTGGTTTGCTAGTGGGTTCCATTTAACCGCCCCAAAAAGCTTTTGCGCGACAGCCAAATATCAGGATCGCCAGGATCGCCTTGGGTGTTGCACACTAAGCTCCCAGCTGTGAGGTTGGCGACATGCAGCATTCTTGTCCAGACGCGATCAGAGTGCAAACAAGCAAAGGCTTGGCTACAGTGAAGGCTAGATGACGCTACATTTTGGGGTTGCATGTTCCCAGGTCTTCACCCGGGGGCGTGCGGTGTTGCTCATGGGCCCATCGGACCACCCCATGAACCCCATCCAGACGCTGGGCGCGGGAGCCACCGGGGTCCTCTCAGAGATGCTGTGCCTGAAGCCGCTTGCTTCACTGGTGTGGTTTGACTTTGGAAAGGATTTGAGAGCCCAGACAATTATATCACTTCTTGCTCCCTTTGCAAACCTTGGGTCTCCGGATGTTTTCCCCACTCTTGTTTGTTGGTGGATCCTGTGCTTTCATAAATCGACTACTGCCTGCTCATGAATAGCACCATGCATCATGACAGCCTTGCACATGCCATTGGTGGCAGCCAGGCCGGGCTGTTCAAAATCATTTCCCTTGCTGTAGTGGTGCCACACGATGGGTTGCTTAGGATGAGAGGTCCCACCATTTCGAACAACCCATCTTCTGGGTACAGAGGACCTGCTCTTGACCCTCAAAGGCTTCCATGGAGCATCGCACCAAGGTATGACGCCAGGATTGTGGCAGTGACTGCTGTGGAGGCCTATCGTGTGAGTTCTATGGACATTCGCCTTGCGAGCACCTCTGCGGCTTTGCTGCAATGGGAAACGGTGGATCTCAAACATGCCTGCCACCTTAAAACGGCAGGATTAGCTACTACACTAAAGGCTGTATAACTCGGTCTCAGAGTTGCTTTAGCATTTTAGCATTGTGGGAAAAGAGAGATGACAAAGGTCAGAGTCATGATCATAATTGCCAGAAGTTCGTAGTGCGAGGGAATATCATTGAGGGACTCATCAACTTACACCCTGCATGTGTGAGCAATGGTCTTCCGACATGGGAATGCATTTGTTGGGTCTCGCCAGCATGAATACAACTGCTGCAGTGCCCAGATGCATCAGCTGAGGTCAAGATACTGCCCTGCTGGTTTCTTCTTTTCCGGGGCCTCGAGCGGGAAACCCTTCACACATTGGGCCTGAAGCTGATGCGTGCCAAAGCGGTCATCGACATGACGCTGCCCAAGGCTGATGCATGTCAATCACAGGGCCCTTGGCTTGCAAGCTTGGCTTGTTAACTGAATGGCTAGCGGCTCGCACACGGTTTACAGGGTATGTGCGAGCACAATTAGCATGTGGCCAAAACGTTCCTTTTCACATCAATGTGGCCAAAAGGTTGTTTACATGTTCAACAACACGCAACTGAAGTTGGGAGACACGTGCGCTTTAGTTGACTTGACAGGGTGCCAAGGATTTGTGCACACATGACCAGGGGTTGCCATTGCGAGTTGTTTGTGTGAAAGCTGAACGCAGCACATCTAAGAGTGAGCTGTTTTGGCAGCAGTCATGCTCGGGACCGTTTCACAAACCACCCACTGATTGCAGAACATGTTTTGTTTTGCAATGGTGAAAGGGGTGCATCAGAACTTCAGCAATTTGAGGGTAGGGGAAGGGCCCAACCATAAGTTCGCCTTTGCTTGAATTCAGCATGCTGTGTACACGCCCTGCGGGTTCGATTGTGCCAAAGCCCTGGAGGTGCAGCTGAAGCCATTGAAAAAGAGCAGGACCCGGCTCCAGGGGCATCCGCAACGGGCAATCCTGGACCCTACTGTACTGGTTTTTCGGTTTCTGGTGGTATTGCTGGTTCTGCGTGACAAAGGCTTTGGCACCATTGCAGTGGGCCCGGCGAGTGCTCGCAGGAGTAGCCCAACGATGGCGAGTGACAGTCGCCTCCTCAGGTCTAAATTGAATCGAATTGAGAGATATCCTCCGCTCTTTGATTTAAGCTCACGAGAGGTTAGGCAGACATATCAATGATGTGTCATTCAAAGCTGACGCAGACGATTGAAATTACAAAGCAGTGAATGCACCAATCACTTTCGCGCTCACTAAGGACAGCAGGCGAAGCCGCAGGACCCATCAAGGGGTCAAAAGGGATCCCTTTCAGTTGATTTTTTTTTTTTTTTAAATACAAAACGAAACTGAACACACCTGTTTTTACAAATTGTCAAATGGACGTCCCCAAAAGGAGGTCCGGGAAAAGGAGATTCCCTGAAATCCGCCCAACGACCCAGGGACGCGCCCCAAACCTAGGATTGGCGCATTGCTGTTTGGCCCATGTAATTTGTTGCAATCGTTTGCGTTCCCATGTTTTGGTTGGAGACTTTGAAGTGGCCAGTGGCCAGTGGCCAGTCGTTGCTTCAGGAGGAGGCTGAGACGACCGTCTTCTCGAGCACGCCGCCGGCCGAGTGAAAAGGGGCAGTTTTAAGATGGGGTGTCAGGTTGGTTTAAAGGGAAACCAAAAGCAAAACCAAACATTTGTTGGGTTTCTGTATTTTGATACACCCATAAGAGCGAGCGAAAGGGAAAGTGGTCGATGTTATGCACAATGGTTTTCAGGGCCCCGAATGGCTCCAAATGTTATTTTGGGCTTGCGCAAAACAATTTTCAGACCAGTTTGCAGCATTTTCGGCATGCTGGGTTTGGAATCTGTAGGTTTTGATCCGATTAGGATCCTTCAGTCACCAGGGCCCAAGTTTGTACTTCCTTTACTACACTTGTACTGAAAAGTTGTGACTGTCGTGCCGGAGCTGCCAAAGTGTATTTCCTTTACTGCGCCTGTGCTGAAAGTTGCGACTTTGCTGCCAAAGTGCACCCTTATTACATTCAAAGCGCTTATAAAGCTCCTTATACAGTCCTTAAAAAAGCCCCTTATGAAACTCCTAAAGAAGCTCCTTACAAAGCTCCTTATAAAGCTCCTTATAAACCTCCTTACAAAGCTCCTTATAAAGCTCTTTACAACATGGGCCCGCAGAATCCCTAGAAGCTATTTTCACCGGCTGGAAAACGACTTCGGGGGCACCCATCAAAAGCTCCTTATAAAGCTCATTATAAAGCTTGTCATTAAGCTCCTTATAAAGCTCCTTGCAAACCTCCTTACAAAGCTCCTTATAAAGCTCTTTATTAAAATCTTTATAAGGCTCCTTCGAAAGCTTTTTATAACATTGGCACGCACCGGCTGGAAAACGAGCTCGGGGACAGAATCCCTAGAAGTTATTTTCACCTTCACCGGCTGGAAAACGAGTTCGGGGAAAGAATCCCTAAAAGGTATTTTCATCAGCTGGAAAACGAGTTCCGGGACAGAATCCCCAGAAGTTTTTTTCACCGGCTGGAAAACGATTTCGGGCGCACCCATCAAAAGCTCCTTATAAAGCTCCTTCTAAGGAGCTTAATGACAAGCTTTCTAAAGTGCTCTATAAGGAGCTTTTGATGGGTGCCCCCGAAGTCGTTTTCCAGCCGGTGAAAAAAACTTCTAGGGATTCTGTCCCGGAACTCGTTTTCCAGCTGATGAAAGTAACTTTTAGGGATTCTTTCCCCGAACTCGTTTTCCAGCCGCTGAAAATAACTTCTGTGGATTCTGTCCCGGAACTCGTTCTCCAGCTGAGCAGCGATCAAAAATGCTCAAAGCAATTTAAGTAAGGGAGCGCTGAAATCAATCAGCGCGGAAGGTGTTCCGCAGGCCGCGGAAGCTTGCGGAAGGGCCGGCGGAAGTTGACTACGAAATTTGCACAGCGGAAGGGCGCGGAAGGGAAACATTTTTGGACCCAACAATTTTTTCTTCGGGCAAACAAAATCGTTTCTGCACCCCGGCCACAAAACTAAACGATTTTCACTGGCTTGTTTTGGCCGTCACCCCGCAAGAAGCGGCATCGAGGGATCGACCTTCCTCATTGCTCATCCCCTCTGGGCAAGTCAGAGTGCTTTACCAAGTCACCATGTGGGCTTCTTCTGCCATGGCCGGTTGGGCCGACATTTACTTGTCTTCGGGCCGAGCAAATTTTTAGCTCCCTGCATGCCGAACAAATCGTTTTAGCTCCCGGGCACTAAAACGATTGTTCGGGCCGAACAAATCGTTTTAGCCCCCCGGGCACTAAAACGATTTGCTCCCCGGGCACTAAAACGATTTGTTCGGGCCGAACAAATCGTTTAGCTCCCCGGGCACTAAAACGATTTGTTCGGGCCGAACAAATCGTTTAAGCTCCCGGGCACCAAAACGATTTGTTCGGGCCGAACAAATCGTTTGAGCGCCGAACAAATCGTTTTTGGCGCAGGCCTAAAATGCGTGGAGATTGATGCGGGGCTCAATTCGCGGAACGCTGGAGGAAGGGCACGGAAGGACGGCGGAAGGGTTCCGTGATTTGGATGCCTTGTGTGTGATGTGTTGTTCTCGCTAGCCGCGGTGTGTCGTGAAGCTTCACGTTTGCTTTGCCAAATCTATTAGGATTCGCGTTTCAGCGTCGTTATGAGTATGGGACCCATAAACCATTTGCTACAGCTGTCTGGGCTCCACTGAGCTCCCGGACCTCCCAGGATACGAGGCAACAGTTGGAGAACCTGCAGCCTCTCAGGGACAGCAAAAACAATTTGCCAGGCCCGCGTGAATCAATATTGCTGTCCTGTTGACAACGCTTTTCACGAAAGCAACGGGTGGTGGATGACAAACTCCATATCTAGTTGTGTTGGCTTGGCAAGAAAGAGACGCAAGCCGCGGAAGGCGCGGATTGAAGGGAAATGAGAGCGCGGAAGCAAACACCCGCAGCGCGGAAGCGCGCGGAAGCACGCGGAAGCGCCAAATGATACCATCGCAATTTGGCCTATTGATTTTGATCACCGCTCAGCTGATAAAATAACTTCTAGGGATTCTGTCCCCGAACTTGTTTTCCAGCCGGTAACAAAACTTTGGGGGCTCTGCGTGCCAATATAAAAAGCATTCTAAGGAGCCTCATACAGATCTCAATGAAAAACTTTATAAGGAGCTTTGTAAGGAGCTTTATAAGGAGCTTAATGACAATCTTTATAAGTGCTTTATTATAAAGTGCTTTATAAGGAGCTTTTGATGGGTGCTCCCGAAGTCGTTTTCCAGCCGGTGAAAATAACTTTTTGGATTTTGCGTGCCAATGTTATAAAAAGCTTTCTACCCGAAGTCGTTTTCCAGCCGGTGAAAATAACTTCTGGAGATTCTGTCCCGGAACTCGTTTCCAGCTGGCGAAAATAACTCTAGGGATTCTTTCCCCGAACTCGGTTTCCAGCCGGTGAAAATAACTCTTGGGGATTCTGGCCCGAAACTCGTTTTCCAGCCGGTGCAAATAGCTTCTAGGGATTCTGTCCCCGAACGCGTTTTCCAGCCGGTGAAAAAAACTTTGGGGATTCTGCGTGCCAATGTTTTAAAAAGCTTTCTAAGGAGCCTTATAAAGATTTTAAATTAAGAGCTTTATAAAGCTCCTTACGCAGCCCGCTATAAAGCCGCTTACAAAGCTGTTTGTAAAGCTCCTTATAAAACTCCTTGTAAAGCTCCCTATGAAACTCCGTATAAAGCTCCTCGCAAAGCTCCTAGTGAAACTCCTTTAAAGCACCTTTTTCACCGGCTGGAAAACGAGTTCGGGGACAGAATCGCTAGAAAGTTATTTTCACCGGCTGGAAAACGACTTGGGGGGCACCCTTCGCAAGGTCCTTATAAAGCTCCTCATGAAGCTTCTTATAAAGCATTTTTAGAGCTTTTCATGAAGCCCCTTATAAGCTTCTTTTAAAGCCCCTTACAAAGCAGCAAAGCTTGTCATAACGCTCCTTTTCAAGCTCCTTATAAACCTCCTTACAAAGCTTTTTTAAAATCCTTATACTGCCCTCACTGCACTTGTAATGGAAAGTTGCGACTTCCGAGCCGGAGCTGCCAAAGTGTACTTCCTTTACTACACTTGTACTGAAAAGTTGCGACTTTCGAGCCGGAGCTGCCGAAGTGCACTTCCTTTACTACACTTGTACTGAACAGTTGCGACTTTCGAGCCGGAGCTACCAAAGTGTACTTCTTTCATAGTTGCTCACATAGAGAAAGCTCCACTCCCCGAGCCGCGAAAGCCGGCGTAAGGGCGAGCGAAAGGGACCAACAGTTAGATCAACCCCCATATGCATAGGGAATACCTTCCCAATAGTTCGTGGACACAAATCCGCACGACCGTGAGGTAAAACAGAGGGTCCCCTTTCCCAACAATTGTGCAAGTGGGAAGGCAGCCCTCCTCTTGATCTGCCAAGAACTGGTTGGTTTAAGAACCTTTGAGTCTTCCCCTTCAAATCATCCAAGCAGAAATCCTCAGGAAAAGCCACCGACAGGTGGGGTTTCCCGTTACAAGCACCTCAAGAGGGTTGGGTCCCGGGCCCTTTTTTCTAAATAGACCCCAAATGCATGACCGCAACAGGGTGCACCTCAAAGGGTCGCCGTATGGTGGAGAGGAGCAGATGCGAGAAATGAGCGCGCATTGCTCGAAGAACATTGGCTTTTTCACAGGACACAAAGTGTTGTTGCAACATTGCAGCACGCTAGGGTTGAGTTTGGCAAGACGAGCTTATGATCAGAAGGAATCACGAGGTTTTTGCTTCCGACCATTATCATCTCCCCGTTTGTTTGTGTGTGTGGGGGTGTGTGTTTTGCTTGTGCGTGCCTGCCTGCCTGTTTGCCTGTTTGCCTGTTTGCGTGCCTCTTTTTTTTTCGTGTGTGTGTGTGTGCGTGGGGGTAGGTGGGTGGGCTTTTTCAAGCAACACTGAGCTAGGGTTTTTGATTCTGCTGAACTTGGAACATGCAGAGATCAAGGCAGTGTTCCGTTGTGCCTTGCTGCTTCCATGAAACCACGTTTGGTCAAGTCTGAACTGCTGAGGCCAAAGAGCCAGCTGGGCGATTCAATGCGTTCGCTAAAGAGTGCCTCACAGCGGGGTGCTCAGGTCGGCCGGCCGATTTGATCCCTCATTGCGGCCATGACATGCCGCGGCACCTGTGTTTGACCATCTGATTAGGTGTTTGTATTGTTCCACGCAACTTTTGACTACAGGTTTCTGGAACATTTGGACCGCAGATAACTACCCAGTATGTGTCTAGTATTATACTATATACGTAGCATAATAATATGTATATTATATATATATATATATTTGTATATATGTATACATCATTAATATGCATATAGGAAGCTGGTGATTTTCAAGGGTCCACTCAATTGGCCCTTGCTTGTGGACGCTGAACCTGGTCCTTTCCCTCAGGGCCTCATCATTCTCCTCCTATCCCACGCGTGGCGGGCCGTACGCTTAGCATGCTCCGAGCAGTGGCCCTTGCTGACCTGCTTTCCATTGCAGAGTGAAGAAGCACACTCTGTTAACCCTGGATGAACCTGGCGCAATACGTGGCCCCCAGAAGTGAAGGATGCCCTCTAACATGGGACACCCCTATTACCCGCCCATCCAAATGTTGGCTTCTTTGCTGCTTTCCTTGAAGACCATCCGAAAAAGGGTGTTCATTTCATGCGACAGACAGACACACACTTACAAATAGTAACCCTTGCTGTATTTCTTGATGGAGTTTGCTCGAGATCGTGAAGCTGTCAGCTGGTTGTTCGAGTAAAAGCTATTTAAATAAACATGTAAAGATATGGCGCAAGTTGTGAAGGAAGCTTGTGCCACATTCTGACGCGAGTCCGACATCTATGCTGGCAAGTGCTCTGCCGTGAGCGTTGGTAATGTCGAAACACTGCATCGCGCGCTACTCGGCCAAGCTCGTATTCGCTGAACATGCTCGGCTTCTGCATCAGTAACTTTGCTTTGGCTTTGGATGGCTTTGGCAACGTCTCCCCACCTCCTCCCCACACTTGCGCTGCAGGAAAAACTGCTTGTCCTGCGTCAATGTCTGATTCAGCCGCTTAACCTTTCAGGCATCAACACGGAACTCGTGCGTCGCTCAACTTCCCTGCCTCAAGGTTTGGTCAGAGTCCGGTAGCTTGTTTTATAACCATCCCGAAGACGAACAAAGGCACCTCAATCGAAATGATGTTTCGATTCGAAAGTCGTTTCTTGCGGCAGCGCTCCGAGCTTGACTTGCGAGTCTGTCAAAAGTAATTGCTGACACGGCTGATTCCACAAGGAACCTCGCTGCAAATTGACTATTTGGCGAGAACGCCGCAAACTTTCACCCACAATCCTGTCATGATGCCAATGTCATTCGAACTTACTGCAATTGCAAGCCTGCTCGCCTTTCACGTCTCCCCAATGCCGATGCCCGTTCCGGGAAAAAAAAAAGATGGAGCGGGAGGGAGGGCTTGAGGGAGGGAGGCAGAGAGAGAGAGAGAGAAGGTAGAGAGAGAGAGGGAGAGGGAGGGATGGATGGAGGGATGGATCAGTAGGTAGGTAGACAGACTTGCACGATACATCCGTGCCGATGCACTTCCTTAGTGAGCCATTCGCATTGGACCCATGCAAAGCATGGCATATCTGCTCAGGCTTCAGGAGCCTCGAAAGCCGGGCGTTCGGCTTCGGCCCATCTCTGCGAGTCGGCGAAAGGACCCATGAGATGCGCCCAGTCTGCATTTGGATGTTAATTGGGGGCGGGAGGATGGAAACGACCCAACTCAACAGTTTGAGTGGCACATTTTGGGACACTAGGAGGTAATTACCCTTTCAAGGAGCTCGAGGCAAAACACCCACAGGGGTTCTCCCATTTTTGTTTTTTCCCGCCTTGCTAGGGACTCCTTGTGAACAAGTCACGCTGTATACGTGGCCTAGAACCAGCATGTATGCAATGCCAACTGCGCAGGTTTTTTTCACATCAAAATGCGGTCGGGCTTGTTCAAGCAATGAATTGGCCACCTTCACGAGGTGCCCCAAACCCCCAAAGGTGCCTGGCAGATAGTGACCGCAGATATTTTGTGGCCTTAGGGGAGCGCGGAACTCTTCTTGCAGCAACTTGGCTTGATTTGGATTGTTCCGAACCTTGCAAAGACCCTCACGACGCAGATCGGTGAAATGAAGCGCTCATTACAAAGGCATCTCCAAGAAGGAACGTGACTCTGACTCGGTTTGCATTCAGAACTGTAGAGCTGAGGAATTGCAATGATAGTTTAGTGGCGATGTGTGCCAGATGGCACTTCAATTCAAAGCATGCAGGACGCAGATTCTCTCAGAGATTTGACATGCCGATGCCAAGCAGTCGGCTGGTCTCACGAAATTGGACCTGCACTGGGGTGCGGGTGTGTTGTTGCAGGTATGTTGCAGGTCTCTTGTATGCTGCCTCTGTGAATATTGTTTGGCGAATGTCAAGCATTGCGCAGAGCAACCGTAACGGCGGTAGGCCAGTCAGAGTGATGTGGCCAGGGATTTTGCAAAAATGACTTGGGCTTCGTACCTTTGTCAGGCCGTGAGTCGATTCGCGTACGTGCTACTGATGTTTTGTCGTGTGACCAACAATGAAGGCAAAGTATGCAATAGAACCTGCCCGCTCTCCGACCATTCAGTTGCAAGGCTCAGAGGCTATGTAGTCCAGGTCCCATTGGATTGAAGCCCAGTGCAGACAACCACAAAGAGCCCATATATCCACCTTTTCACTGGGTTGGCCTTCTGAGAAGCGCCTGCCTTTTCCAGGCCTGGCTTGGGCACTAGCGAAACGTTCCCAGCCATAGCCAATCCGATCAAGGTTGTGCTAGTGGGGAGAAATATTCAAGGCAGATTGGTCTTGCGAAAAACAAAAAAAAAAAAAAAAAAAGAAAGGGAAGAAAAACATGCTAGCTACCGTGTAAGAATGATGATGGTCGTGAACTTCCCAGCTATGTCACGAAAGCTAGCTTTAGCTAGCTGAAGTTTCTCCTTGCGTAAGCAAGGTAAGGGGCTCAAAGGCCGAAAGATTGATTCTTTCAATTATTTGAGCCGAAAAGATTGAAAAACATCAATCATTTAGAACCCCCCCCCCCTCCCCCCCCCCCGCCGGGTCTCAGGCTCGATTCCTCCCTGGTCCATCCCCCCCCCCAGGCAGTGGCTCAGTGTTCAGCAGTCTCGGTTTGCCCGTTTTGGACTTGGTGCTACGAACTTTTACATGTTCCACCGATTCAGCTTGTTCATTTGAGACCTCAGTCTTCTCGGTAAACCACCTCGCAAGAATCTTTGCACACGCAGCATGCAGAACCCAGAGGTGCTTTAAGACAGCTTCTGACGCCTCTCGTTGTTTTCATTTTTCAAGGTTTGCCACGCCACCATGCGCGTTTGCGTGTCGCATCCTACGAATCTTGCCGGGCCTCTCGTTGTACACAAGCTACCTATGAATCCACTCTTTCACCGACCCATCTCATGCAACAACTGCTAGCTTTCGTTCACCCGCTCCTCAAGTTAATAGTATTTGCACAACCCGCAAGATTATGGGAGTGTGGAGTGCATGGTCGGCCGAAAATTCTGGAGTGCATCCTGGTACCCAGGGAACTTTAACCGAAAATTAGTTCGGTTTATTCTCCAAGTGCGTTTGAGTATGCAGCGGCTTGGGCATGCTGACCATCAAACATCCGTGTGCTTAGCGGGATGTGTTTGGCTTTGCAGGTGTAGGGGTGAATGCTAGCCAGCAGGCTAACTCTTTAAGTTGCTCACGCCAACAAGCTAGCCGAGAAAACGACACTTAGCCAACCAAGGAGCTATTCAGAGTGGGCAGAGAAACTACCGGGCCAGTAGACTTGATAGCTAACGACTTTGAACAAACACTCACGCAGACAAGATACAGCGTGGAAAGGAGGACAAACAAAGAGCACCTCACGTTGAAGTATGGAAACTAGAGCCCCAGGTTCCACTAGCTTTGGTGCATCGGCGTGAGTTTCATTGCGCAGGATGATAAGGCGTCATGTTGTTGGATCTTTCGAACGAAGTTGACAAGCTCAAACTGCTGCAGTTTTGAAGATCCCGAGCCTCACATACAGCTTTTCCACTTTGACCACCTAGGTGAACGCAAGTTGGACAAGTTTCAATGGGCTTTTGTCGCTCTCTGGGCCCCGCTGTCGCTAGAATCATCACACATTTTGTGGCCAGGAGCCAGGCCCTGCGGCTGAAGGCAGGGGTCACCCACTAGAAAGGGAGCCCCGCTCTGAGACGTGACTCTTTTTTTTGTCAGAATTGCAAGCTGGAGCCGCCTCACGTGTAATGTTTTATTGCGTTCCTGATGTGCGAAGGGTCCCGATTATTTGCTCTGCCACAGCTCGCAGGCACAGGGCAATCTGGCAGTGCAGGCATGCGGGAGGCGGGGCACTGGGTTCGCTATGTCAAGCTCCTGATTGGAAAGTTCCTCCCTCAGCCCTGCTTCACTTGTGGGTCAAAATGGCCTCATTCCGGACCCTGAGAAAAGCGGACAATAGCCGGCTGTCTCACAAGGTCCGGGGCAAGCCATGTTCTGGTGATTCTTTTGCCAGAGGAAGGCCTGTGCGCAGACCGCTATCCTGGCTGCTCCGCTTGAAATAGGTTCACGTACACTTCGTGAGATTCAATATCTCAGTATCGAATAGACAAAGCTCATGTTTCAGTCAGTGCAGCTCCTTCATGAGCTAAAAGCTTGTGATGGCTGGTTGGTTTCTCTTACTGCCCCAAGCCTGGGAAACAAATTGCAGTCTCTGGGCGTCTCTTTTCTATCTTGACTTATTGCAGAGACCCGATCTGGGTGGCATGGTTCCTTTGAGGGGGAGTCTTTGTGATGTTTGTTCCGCTCTAGTTCCCCCTGAAAACCCGCAAAAGGGGGCTTTGTCTCCCGGGTTTTGTTTGGCTGAACTCCACCGGAACTGGTGGGTTTTATTGAGTGGACGGGCACAGCTCTCAAAAGAAGTTTAAAGGGAGCTGGCCTTCCTTCTTCATTTGCCTCGTGCAGTGGACCTCATCAGAAGTGGGGTAAGCCAAGTGAGCTTCGTCAACTTAAGTCCTGGTTGTGGTGTTTTACAAGCGGATCTGGACATCGTTCTTCTAGATGTCCCGCTATTGACGTTCGATGTCAGACGCTTTGCGTTGGGGCAAACATTGCCAACGTTGCTTTTTGTTCTTAACCAGAGGGGTGCTAGGTGTTTGGAGTAAGAGAGCTCTCCAATGGTTGTCCACCAGCCTCTTTTGAAAATCCCAAACAGGGCACTGGCTGTTGACAACCGCCCGCACTATCGGCATGCAAACATGCCCTGTGCATGCTTGTCAAAGTATGCTGTTCCCGCAAGTGACATACGACATTTCGCCCGCCCCATTTGGACACTCTGGGACATTGAGTGAGTTCCAAATAGACTGGGAAAGCTTGAGCCACAAGTTTGTGTCCATCAAACATCCGAAGGTAAGCACACAGACTGAAGAAGGAACAATCGAAACGACTGTTACGATGTGGGTGTATCCGAATGCCTTTCGCAGACGATCAAGGATGCCCTCTCGGCTTCGATGGGGCTGCACAGGTGATTGCCCAAAAAACACAGCACAGCCATTTTGTGTGTTTTCTTAATCGGCTACTAAAGTCAACCAATTGATGGGAAATTAGACACATTTGACTTCAACCGTACCGATTGGTAACAATCAACCAATTGTGCTGCGAGTGCAGGGAAGTAATTAGCCAATCAACTGTTCAACCAATCAACCGACCAACTGTTCCTTGCACAGTAACTATAGCACGTTGAACATCTTGGGGATGAGCAACTTCTGCTCTGAGATGCCTAGTTTGTCGCTATCTTCCGCCTGTTTTGGGCAGGTTTCCTAACTAAAAATCAACCAGCACCAAAGGGTTTCCTTTGCTCTCTGGCTACTGGGCATCCCAGTGTTGGGTTGTTTTGAAGTACCACTCCCATGATTTGTGTTTGTTTTGTTTGTTTGTTTGTTTGATTGTTTGCTTGTCATGTACTTTGAGACAAGCAGCGTAAACGTTCTTGCACAAAGGATGAGGTCAAACGTGCAGTATTCTTCCTTTACAGCCGATTAGAAGGGTCCTTTGAAGGTGCTGCATCAAGTATGGCGATCAGCACATGACCCATCGGTCAGGTTAGAGTGCCTCCACTCTGGGGAGCCGCCACTGCCCAAGTCAGAGATGCGTGAAGGCAAAAGCAACATGCTGAAAGGAGGTAATTGAGGGCCTCCCCTAACGAAGCCTTGCAAAAGCTAAACGCAGGCGCGAAAGCCCGCGAAAGCTTGCGGCGAAACTGGTTGAAGAAGAGCCCGCGGCAAAAGCGTCGCGAAAGTGCATGTTTGCAGTTTCTGTGTTGCCCGCGAAGCTCCGCTAAAGTGCTCATTGCAAAACACATGTCCGCGAAAGTGAAACGTGTGGCCGCGAAAGGTTCCGCGAAAGCGGTTTGTTAGTAGAGGATTTTATGTACTCATTATGTCATTGTCGGTACCGCTCAGGTGTGTCAAAGAAAGATTGCCACCTTTGCTTGACTTGAATGATATGCCGCTGACGCGTTGCTTAAAGTTTACCAACCTGCCACAGTCTCCTTGATGTGTCGTTCATGTTTGGAACATGATTGACCTGAAGGAAAATTGGTCCTGTCACAATGTGAGGGTCATCACTGCCCCAGGCGCCGCGGGTCATTCCCCGAGCTCTAGAAAGCAGCAGGAGGGGAAGCCGCTTGCAGTTCTTCGGTTGAAGCCCAACTGCAGCGAGAGGAAGCAAAGCGCAGCAGAGACATGTTGCAAAGCATTTTGATATCAGCGACGCCGTGGACCCGTTTTTTCTTCTTCTTTTTACTAGCCCCGCTTGGGGCTCAACCCTGGTCGGCTGGCTGGCCGGCCGGTTGGTTGGTTGTTTGGATGGATGGTTGGTTGTGTGGTTGGTTGAACTCCTAAAGCAGCCAGCCAAGAAGCCACTGCAAAAACTGGCCGCACTCTTAGCACTCAAACAGACTCAAAGTCAACCCCAAGCCCACCCAACAGCAGCCATGATATCAGCCCGTTGCCGTGCCAAATGAACCCCGCCCAAACAAACCCAAGACCCGCCCGTATTACAGCCGAGAGTGTTGACTCACCTGACTAGTGCGTTTGTTTGCTGGACGTGACTCGTGTGACACTTCATGCAGCGTTCCAAGAGCCACCCTGAGCAGAAAAGAGGGCGCTTGAAGACTGTTGAGCCTCAGAGTTTGGCTTAAGCCTAACTTAGCTTGCAACCAGCTGGCCCGTCAAAGCTCCGAAGGGGTCACTGCCTTTGGAAAGCAATGCCCGCCGCGCGCTGAGCAAGGAGCTGCGGCAGCACCTGCAGCTGCTCCACCGCCACATCGGTGGCTTCGGAGCCAAAGAGAGAGCCCGAAAAGGCGAAGCAAAAGGGCGAAAGTACATGGCACAAGTCCCTCGTGGGAAAGTTGACTGGAGCAAAAGTTGACTGGAGCCAATTGTTTAGGGGAATCGTGCCTACTGTATGTCACCCAGCTGTATGGTGGGCATGACCTCCTTTTTATGGTATTTGGGGACTTGGGGGAGCAAAGCGTGGCGGGAGTCGTTTAGGTCAACTTTTTGTTTAGGGCATTGGGTCTTTAGGCATCGGTGCTGAGTTTGGAAGGTTTCGCCGTGGACCATACCTCCGGCGAAACCCAGAAAAGAGTAAGTGCAAGTGAATTGAGGGGGACATTTTTCAACATCGGAGAGACATTACGGCCCCTTGCACCCAAAAATGTTTTCAGAGCATCCACGCACCCTTCCAAGAAGCCGTGCTAAGAAGGTTCTGAGAACCTTTCCTCCTGGCTGGTGGGCGCGGTCCCACGGCACAGGGGGGCTTTGGTTTCCCCCAATTATGCTCGGCCAAGACTGGAGCTTTGGAAGCATTCACATTTGTAGGTGCAACTTTTGTTGAGGTGCCTCATGGCAGGGCGAGCAAGGGCTGGCCATGTCATATTTGTTGTTATTTGTTGCTGCTCAATGGACACGTTTGATCCAAGCATTCCAACTGCAGGGGGACTCTGTATCATTCCTCCAGGCAGTCTTGAGCAATCTCAAAGGCAAGAACTTGTGATATGTTATTGCTGCCCTAGGGTCACATTTGTGAGGCGGCGCCGCGCCGAAGTGGATTTCACACCCTCGATGTGTCAGAGGACAGAGCAACATGATCTGTGTCGGAAAGTTGGAGGGCGCTTGGCAAGCGAGAATTCGACAGTGACACCCTTGCAGATTGACGCGGAACCCAAACAAACCGTCATTTTTGGAGGAATCTTCTTTAAGGGACTCCCCCTTTTTGGGTTCCATATTAATGTTTCTTTGCAGGGGAGTTAGTAATGCATCAGAACAACCAGGGGCCAAGACTGTGACACGTCAGCAAGAGGGTTCCTGAGAACGATTCACTTGGATGACCGATGAGGATTATGCCTTGTCAAAAGAGAGCTCGCCGAACACTTCACGGATAGCTGAGGCTCTCTTGATCGAACAAGTCCAAAGTGATGAGTGTTGGTCTACTAAGGAAGACCACAGTGGAATCTTTCGGATTTGAATTTATTCCCAAGGCCAAAAGGACAAGCTGAGCTCTCTGACATTGGGATTTGGAGCATTGCTTGGACTCAGCAACAGGAAGAGGAGGGTGCTGTTCTTGCTGCGATGACGGCACGTATCTTAGTTTGAGGACGCATCAGAAACATGTCATGATCTGTGTGCTTGATGTCGTGTGGCGTTAAGCCATACTCTGCTGCGTATGATATTGCCTGCCCTGCGCGCCATTGGTACTGGGGATAGACTGATGCGATGCCTCAAGGCAAACAGCAGCGCCCTCAAAGCAGAAGGAAGGCGATCGTTGATTAGGCGCCCTGTGCCAGGCTGGCGAGTTTACACTTAATTAGGCCGCGTGCAAGATAGTCAGAGAGGGAGAGAGAGCTGCAGATACAGGCAGTGAGAGAGAGAGAGAGAAGGAGAGAGAGAGAGAGAGCGCGCGAGAGATGGAGGGTGGAAAGATGGATATATTAATATGGAGAGCGAGAAAGTGTCGCATGAGTTTATGTTAAGCTTCCGGTCACATTAAAATGATGTCATTATCCAGCTGTTTCGCGCCCAACTCAGTGGCAATACACGACAAGTCCACAGGAGCTCGAGCTACTCTAGTTGCAATGGGAAGGCAGCTAAGATGCAGACCCTTTCCCCATTTCCAGATGCCGCACTTTTGGGCGGCCTGCAACTTTCAGCTTCCAAACCAAAGGGGACATGCTTGGATTCATCTTCTTTTTCTTGGCAAAACCCCCCTCCCCGAAAACGAGCGGTTCCCTTGCAAACAGCCCATAACTTGGCGCCCTCAAAAAGGACACTTGTGACTCGATGACTGTGTCCAGTGCCAGGCTGGGACAAAAGGCCTCAACTAGCCTGGAGGCAACCCTCCAGGAGCCGCCGCGGCGTTGCCCTTTTCCAATCGGTTTATTTTGGGGTGACCCGTTGCTGTGAACCCTTCGAGGGCACCTCGGCTGCAACTCCTAAAGGGGTACCCCAAGCCAAGGATTTGTGTGATGGCTCCAAACTCTCACCGCAGAGCTGGCAAATGTATTAAAACCCAAGGATACTAGCAGAGCCATTCATTAGTAGGTTGGCCTTCCAACATTCTGCCTGAGATGTTGAGAATGGACGACTGCTGGGACTGCTTGATGCCAGGAGTTGAAGCGAGAAAATGAGCAACTGTCGCGCTCGCTTCAAGAGCGGACAGCGCAGCAAAAGGAGCTTGAGAGAAATGCCCAGCACTCAGAGGAGTTATGCGTTTGCTGGATTGCTAACGTTGGGCGTACGGTCAGAGGCATGCTGGCAACGCTCCGGTGGCCATCAACCGTCAATGCAACTTACTGGTTTCGTTACGCTTATGACTAATCAGGATGATACCTGGACCTTAATAGCAAAGGTATCAGTCTCTGGTGATGACTACCTTTGTTATCGAAGTCGCAATCAACAGTAACGCAATTTCCAACCAGCATCTCGGGGAACTCACGCATGTCCATAGCCGAAACTGCAAATGTTTAAGCGTGACTCATATCGACAGAGTTCACCAGCTTGCCCGAAGTGAAAGAGGATGGAGGGAAGAGATGGCGGCTAATGTGCTCGGGCCGGTGTGGCACAGAGGGTCCCAATGCCGAGGTGCGGATGCAGGGCATCATTTTCCAGACTCGGCAGGACAGTCACCCATGACTTGGACATCTCGGTTGCCTTGCTGTTCATGCGTTTGAAAGAAGCTGGCACAACAAGCAGGCCAACCCCGCATAGGCGCAAAGCCTTTTGCCTTTCTCTCGCAACCCAGAAACGGTTTACTTTATATCCACTAATGTTTCTCATCCTCTCGTGGGGTCTCTTTTGGGGTGCTTGCGATCCGGTCCCATTAGGCTGATCCGGTCCTAGCCACCCGCAAGGAATTGGTCGCAATGAGGCGGGGAGCCACTGAGAGTTGTTTTTGTTTTGGGGTTTCCTATTTGGATAGATCAACTTTGCGGATGATAAGGTGGGTGGTCCCCCAAGTAATGGGGGAGTAATCAACCAGAAGCTGTTTCATCCTGGATTACGATTACCTGCAGCCCGTTACCATGTGTTACCAGTACAGATGTTATGTCGACAAGACAAGCCTCTTTGGGGACAGTCCTGCTGCATGCTATCATTGAAATCAATGTCACAACAGTATCGTTGTCGTGGCTATTGTGATTGCCGTTGCTGTTGCTCCCGCTGTCACGATTGATGATCTTTCTGACCTTTTTCTTGCTGGCGGTGGTGGGGTGCGCCGCAGCAGCAGCAGCAGCAGCACTATTATTACTACTATCATTAGGTAGTGGTGGTGGTGGTGGTGGTGGTGGTGGTGGTGGTGGTGGTGGTGGTGGTAGGTGGTAGGTGGTAGGTGTAGGAGTAGTAGTGGCAGTAGGGGTAGGAGTAGGAGTAGGAATAGGAGTAGTAGGAGTAATAATAGGAGTGGTAGTAGGAGTAATAGTAATAGTAATAGGAGTAATAGTAATAATGATAGAAGAAGTAAGAATAGGAGTAGAAATAGAAGTAAGAGTAGGAGTAGTAACAACAACTACAATAGCAGTAACAACAACATTCGCATTCGTATTAACAACTCTAAGGGTCGTTTAACGTGAACCAATACTACCAGACGCCAGGCAAGCCGCTGTCACGGCCCAAGCTCAGGCACAGCGGAGGGCTTATCCTACCCCTTTCCAGACACTGCCTGGAAGTTGACATGAAGAAAGCAGGAAGCTTAAGCGGTTGCCATTTGGAGCAGGCCCTAGTTTGGACACATTTCCGGGTAGATGATTCGGTTCATCATCCTCGTTCTTTTTGACATGAGAGAAGTTGCATTGACGTGCCACGGTGCCAATTGGTTGTCCCGTCCATGAATCAAGCTTAATCTGCTCGGATCGTAGAGGATAAGGGTGTTATCATGGACAACAGACGCAAAACTGGGCTTCTCGATGAATATCAGCTGATTCCCTATTCCCAAGAAGAAATGCACCCGCGCCACAAAATCAGCAGTTGTTTGTCAAGTATCCATGATTGTGTGCTCCATCGTTTGTGTGATCAATCCCGGCGAATCAACTACATGTCTGACTGGTGTGGGCATTCTCCAACCACAGACGCTACCATTTGCATCCCGACCACAGGACCTGTGTTTCCCTTTCAACCAACCCCCAAAAGGGTCTCCTCAAAACAGACAGCCATTTATCTACCACCACCGGGAGCGGCATCAGCAGTACTTCGAAGCACAACCAACTTCAGGGGGCAATATTCAACTCCAGTGGTAGTCATTGAATCAAGTTTGATTGGGTTTTCGTCGATACAAGGGAATTTACAAGCACTTGCTTGATCTTGATTGATCAATATGGGGATGTCGGGTGGTGCTGGTTGGGAATGTGTCCTTTTTGGCAGCCCGCAGGCTTGCATGTTTGCCACCCCAGAACACAAACAGTTGCCCATGTCGGGGCCATTCTCGAATGCTTTGCGGCTTTGCGCACGATCCAAGAAAATTGCCTTTGCGGGCCAAACGGCCCCCAATTTGGCGACTTTGCCTTCAGGCCTCGCTAGAGAGTTCGCCAGCGCCGGGGACTCGGAGCTTTGCGACTGGATGCGCGCCACTTGGAAGCGCTTGGGCAAATATGGCAAATGATGTGTGCAATGTGAATGAGTTGGATACTCTCACGTGAGGGAGCAATGATTTTAGTGGCACTTCTTTGCGGGGTGGCTCAAGCTGTAGCCTTTCGTGTTTTAAACACAAATGCCACATCCACTTTCCTTGAGCACCTATCTGCATTTGCTTGGCTGCCTTGCAAAAGCACCCACAATAGCAAACCGTACGCAACCAACCAACCCACTGTGGAGACAGTCACGGTCCGTATTTTCCCGCAGTGCCGCTGGCAGTGCAATCTTTCGGACGATTTCAGCAATGAGTGCGCCAACATCAACATTCTCAATTCCCGTGGCGCTCGGGTGCCTTGGCGTCGAGTGAAGGGTGCACATGCGCTTTTGCTTGCTTGTTTTCTCGAGTTGGGGCCATTGGTGAGAAAGGCCTAGCCATTTCAGCCAACATGACCGAAATGTGGACTGAGTGGCCTCCTTCGAGTTCGATTTAGTTTCCCTCTCTGAAGAGAAGCGGTGCTTGCCTTTGTGCTCACACAGAGTTGCCCAGCTAAGGTTTTCTGCCTTCATCGCGCTAGGCGCAGCCCCCCACCACCCACCCACCCCGCCAGTGATCAAATCATTCCAAACGTTCACATCATGTGATTTCCAGATTTTCAGTTCGGCGATGCCTTCGGAATGCCAACCATCCCGCAAGTTCAAGTTCACCAATCCAGTTCGCCAATCCAATCAACCAAGTATGCAGCGAAGCTACGCGACCAACAAGCAATCCCATGCTCCCCCATGTAGCAGGCATGTGGCCAGGAATGAGCGATTCATTGACAGGGTTCCACACTTGCGGCGCCCCAGTCCTTTTCATGTTCAGAAGGGGAAGGTAGGTCCAAAATGAAGAGGTTTGCAACGAGTCTGAAGAGTCCATGTCCCCACAGGCCCCATTTGGATCAAAAGCAAGGCAAACATTGCCCGTTGCCATGAACCTTCATTCCTGGGTCGGTGCCAGTTTTTTTCAGCCAGGGAGTGGCTGGCATTGGGCCGCCCTGGCCGTGCCCCCATTCGGATGCGCTAGTTGTCCTCGGCCTCGCCCCTTTTACCATCAGCAAGGGTTCAAGTATTGCGTTGTTGTACAGAAAATATTTCAAGAGGGCGTGAAATGACGAAGTGTTGCTAGAGGCAATAGTCAAAGGGTTTGGGAGCTGCTGATGTGGTTTTGACATGGATGATAGGAGCATGGCCTGGGTGCTTCAAAAGTATGGGATATCCCCTATTTGGGATTCCTTTTGGCTTTCCTTTGAACCAACCAGGGCGTGGCGTAGGCCAACAAATGACATGCCAACTGACCGCCTGCGGCTCAGGTGTTGACCTTGGCACTGGCACAGAAGCTGATTGTGTCGCTGGGGCTCAAGCGAAGTGCCTTGGCAAAGAGTGTTGAGTTGTTTCCAGCATGTGTTGCTTGGTTTCAAGGTCTCAGTTTTGTTGTTTCCGAGTGCTGTTTTGGGAAGGACGGGCCAGTTTATGTGTGGTTTTGACTTGGGAATCAGATCCACAGAACAGAATGCCGCACGCTTTTGGGCGGTGTTTGCAGAGAGAAAGACAATGTAGCAGCGTTGGGCTTGTGATACCTGGCTTTGACGTTGGATCAGCCAAGGGAGTGCAATGATTTTTTGCCTCCAATTGGTTGATTGTTTGTTTAATCCATTGAACACTTTCTCATCATTTGCCCGTGCCCCTGGGGTTCCACAATTTTGAGACTGACAAACCCATGCATCCGAGGTTCTCCCGCGAAGACCCAGGTGACCCGTCAGAGCACAACCAAAGTCCACGCGGGCTACCAGGAGGGGCGGCCAGATGGAGCCAGCCTTTGGAGGGCACAAGTAAGACACGCTCCAAAATATGAAGGACCCTTTTTGCGAGTTTTGCTCAAGGCATCGTGTCGGCAGTTGTTCAAGCTCCTGATAGAGCTTTGTCCTTGTTCCCCAAGTCAGACTAGTCGGGCGAAAGTCACTGCACTGCATGGCACAGCAAGAAGGAAAAGGTGTCACGTCAGTCGGGAGGAAGTCACATGACAAAAATCAAATCACCCTGGGCACGCAGTAAAACTGTGCAACCCTTCAATTGCTCAAACTTCAAACTGGGCCGAAACCATGTCACAACAGAAGATTTTGCAGCAAACATCGCATGGAAACATGGAAGACTGTGGGAAACGCCAGTGGCACAGCTCAACCGACCACTTCAACTGGATATCGTGCAAACAAGCAAATCTGCGTGGCACCCATCGCCAGTAGAACCGCCAAACTGCACGTGGTTAGGAGTTAGGTTTGTCAATGGTTAGGTCAGGTCTGTCACATGGTTGGATCTGTCAGCCAACAACCGAAATCAAACCCGAGTTCAAACAGGAATTTGGACATAGCCCTGAGTGCAACGTGCAAGCATGTCGCCGGCAAGGATCCATTGAGGTGGACGTTTCTTCCTTCCAACGGTGTGCCACAGATGCAGGGAGGGGGTACACCTTGGCTGTAGCTGAGCGTTTGCCACGAGTCCCTCATGCAAAATTCACTCAGAGAAATCCCATAGGTGACTTCAAGCTTTGCCAAGCTGTCAGCTTGAAAAGGCTACCTTGTTGCATCTGGCCGGTGAAGCATCCCGAAGCATGGGCCAACTTCTTGGGCCATTTGTCTTTTGCTTGCCGCACTTGGTCGTGGTGCTTACTGGTCTGCCCCCAAAAGTTTGCCTCCCAATGGGGGAATTTCAAGAATTGGTTGGCTTCTTGTGCTTTCCTCTTTCCCTTGGTTTCCCTATCACAAAGCCAAACCCAGAGGGGTACACGAGGTGCAGCGAGCCAACTCGCTGGAGCCCGCAGAGTATGAGAATGAGCTCTGCAAGATCAAGTGCGTGGCAATGCATCGGCCAACTCACGAGCCCTGGAGAGAGGCCGACGGGGCCACAATTGATCAATTCGTTGGTCGTTGGCCAACACCCCCCCCTGTGGGCCTCCTTCTGGTGGGGTGATGCTTAAAGGGTGATTGCTGAAATCAAGGTCATCCCTGCTAATGGGGGTGATGACCATCAATGGCGTCAAGGTGAGCCTTGCCCCCATTTCGTCCAGCAACAGGCTAGCCCGGCCACAATTCGGTAAGGGGACATCACAAAGAAGCTGCTGGTGGGGGGCTCCACAATTGGGGGACAGGCACAACGTCGATTCTCTTTAATCAAACATTGGGTACTTGTAGTTGAAGGTTATCAGGGGACAGTTCCCTGGCCATTTGCGGATAGGTGTGGATATTTGCCCGTTACCTGTTTGATTCTTTACATTTCTTTACCATGGAGTCTGGGAGACCCTGGCCGTGGCCATACCGTTATTGATCATGATCCGACCCCACCCTTAATCAATCCTCAGCCGAGCCAAGGCCCACTTGAATCCAACCCCAGCCCTAAATCCAACATGAAGCCATTCTGGTTCAACCCGACAAAGAATGTTGGGAGCCCGGAGGCCACGGGGGACTACCCCTACGGCTGGCATTTGTGTGGAAGGAAGAGGCTTTGGGAGATCCGGGTGCAGATGCGCTTGAAGCAGGCGCTTTTCGGCGACGCTTCTGGTTTGCTGCTTGTTTGAATGTAGTGGATGTATCTCTGAATACATCTCTCTATACATATACATGCATGCATACATATGTAGTTATGAAATTGCACGGGGAACCCGTCACAAACGGTTTGTGGACAATCAAGCCCTCATTCATACCCAATTTTTATTGGTTTCTCTTTGGATTAGGAAGCAACCTGAGAAAAGGTACCACTTCTCGAAGAAGGCGCTCGTTTGTTGCAGGCACTTCGCAAGCCACTTTCTTCCCAGAGCGGCGCTTTTGGCCAGATATTCACGCTGAGCTGGCCAAATCACTGGTCGACCGTCGGTGGGAGGACATGGGGCGCCCTCCCCAATGTCGCACCAAAGCCAGGGGGGTTAAGACTTTAAGACCCCCCCCTGCTTGACTGCTTGGCCGCTGCATTTGATTCGTAGGTGCCCTCCAGCAAGCTTTACTTCGGCATTGAGCTCGCAGACTGTGAGGCAGGTCCGATCCATGGGAGCTCAATGCACCCAGCGCCCCTCAGGCTGCAGCGGCTACTGCGAGGCAGATGAAAGCCGTGCTCATCAGGGCAGTTCAAGGCCCTGGGGGATGGGCTGATGGGCGCGTCTTTTTTGGAGCCCTATTGTGGCTTGAAATGCATAAAGCAAAAGGAAGCCATGTTGGCCCCGCAAATTTTCAGAAACCCACGTTGGCTGAGTCGCAAAATAAGGGACGCCATCCAATGAAGAAGAGCCAGCCAAATCTCTCAGGGGTGATTGGCGACTTCTACTACTCTGACGGCGAGGATCCAGCTCAGGCCTGTGTGCCATGATTTGAAGGAAGTGCAGAAATTGAGGGGCGGTTTCTTCGAGGGACCTCCCAGTGGGTCAATGGGTGGTGGGCTAACCATTGAGCTAATTTCAAGGGTTTTGATTGAGATGTTTATTTTCCTGGAACTTGTAGCTTTTCTGGGGTTGTTACCCCACCAAACGGGTTCATTTCCCAATTTGAGACAATCCCATGTGAAGGAACGAGATCGAGAAAGAGAGGGAGAGAGAGAGAGAGAGAATCTCAACGTAGAGAACTCCCGTGGAAGGTAAAAGCGGGGAAAGCAAACCGAAGGCGACCGGTGTAATTCGCAAATTGAGACATGTGGCAGGTGGATGGCGAGGCGGAGCCTTCCACTTTCGTGATGCCCCTGTGGGCCTTCGACCAGTTTGTCGCCTCTGAGGCGGAAGCCGCAAAGTTGTATTAGCCATACATGGCAGGGTTGGTTGCAACATATGTTACCCGTACGGCCAAATCATGGTCCACGAGCTTGTTAAGACGAACCCGAGTATGACAATTCCTAGAAGGTGACCTCAGAAGTCTATTTCATTAAATTGCCTTGGGTACTAGTATC